TGGACTTTGAGACACTGATACAAGATTTCCATTTTACATAGAATATCATAAATGTTCTTAGATTTAGGAAGGGGTAATACTTTAACAACCTTTATGTTGTTTCATATTTTGAAACGATGAACTATATCGTGTTTAATTTGTAAGACAAAGTACACTTGAACTATGCTGTGTGTCTGGGGTAGTTAATGCACACATTAGCTTGCATTATCCACATTATAGCATAGTATTTTCCAATGTCATGTGTTAATCTCAGGTTATTATTTGTGACAATGTCTAGCATTTATTGATCTGTTGATTGGAGGTCCCAAAATTAGGTGCGTATATGCAAGTTATTGATCAGTTGACTGGATGTCCCATGATGCAAGTTATTGATTTGCTGATTAGAGGGACCAATGATTAAATACTTTTGTGTACTGAACTTAGCCTTAGATTATCACATTTAAAATGGGATGCACAGTTATCCCCCCCCCCCCCAAAAAAAAAACACAATATATAATACATCACAGGACAAGTGGTATTACTTGCTTCTTTAACCAATGCGGTTAAGGATGGATGGTTGAAGTGCAAAACCGGCACCGCATTTTTGTTTTCAATTTTGTACAGGTTTGAAGGATATTGTTGTTAGCTTAACGCCCAGTGACAAATATTTCACACCTTTTAAGGATCAGAACAATCATATATACGAAATCCTAATTTAAAAATTGAAATCTTTATTTACAAATTAAAAAAAATTAAATGAACAATCCTTAGCATAAATTCTCTTATAATAAGTAATTTTAAACATTTATCATTTGACACTGAATGATAAAATTCCCAAAGTATTGCAATTAAAATAAAGTAACAATTTTCATATATATATATCACATAGTCTAAAAAGTAAAATTATAGATATCTAAAAATATGCAAACTTTAATTACTTTATCCCTATTACTGTGTTCAAATTAAGTCATAGATGACACTAAAATACGTTGATGATCACTGCAAAAATAATTTTCTAAGTATAAAATCCTGTGCAGAGTTTTACAAAAAATTTGCCGGATATCTGTATAATTCATAATATTTAGTAATTTGTCATTATGTTCATATTTTTGAAAAATCGCATTGAGTTAAGAGCATTTGTGAAATAAATGTACGTTATATCCTATATTACTGTACAAGGGATATTTCATTAGAAAATGATTTTATTTTTATTTTCGAATGCTATACAATCATACAAAACACAACACGTTCTACTGTAGGCGTAGGCTGACTGGGTTATCTTAGCGAAAAGGGGCCATATAGTTCGTCTTTCTATTATCGGAAAGTTTAACTTTATGTACGATTCAGTTTTCACAAAGTTTTTGTGCATACGATACGACCGAAGCTTATTCCCATTTCGTGCTTTAGATCTGCATGTTATATAGAGTTCTGTATATATCATTTTGTATTGTCACGGTCGTCAAGTGTATTGTTGATATAGACACAAGTCATTTACAGCATCTCTAACATTCAAACGATTAATGATCTCTTCAGAAATTACATCAATTTCTTTGCCATGTATTCCACTTTAACATTGTATATTGATTTTCTGGTTTCATAAGTACGTAAAATTCGGCACAAAAGTCTACAAAAGTGTATACACTGTTATGTTAAACATGATGTCAATCACATATTCCATCTTATCGCAATATTTTGTGTATGCTAAAAAAAAAAGACAGAAAGTATTTTCATGCTCTATTTTGGATGGCAGTGATACAACTAAACTGCTTAGTGCCCCCCCCCCCCCAAACCGCTTTCGTACATCAATATTGGTGTTACTGTAGATGAGTATAGTTTGATATATACTTTATGCGGCATACCTGCACTATTTTTTTTCTATTTACGTTCCTAGGGCACATCTAGCAGTCTTTGCCAATTCTGTTGCCTTTTTCACAAAAGTCAGAATGTTCATAAATCCATGCATATTCCAAGGTTTTTGTAACTGCCACTATAATCGATGACGTTATCAGAACAGTGGAACAAAAAGTCTGATTAACTGCAAGACTGGGGTAAAAAATTAACAACTTAGTCTTAACAATGTTGATAGACAATTTTCAATTTGAACATAAAGCTATCACTACATTGACTGCATACTTTGTAAATTGTTCTCTTCGCGCGGTCGTGTGCTCTCAACGGGATATCTTCCACGTATAAGAGAATATTTATTGAATATCGTCTATATTCACGCCACAGTTTAAAGAATTGATACGTTCTGTCAAATCGTGTAAGTACACATAAAATAGTGTAGGCGACAAAATGCAGCCCTGATTCACACCAGCCTCAACTTCGATATTGTTAACACGAACATGACTTCTAAATTAGTTGTGCAATGATTGCATATTTTCCTCGTGCACCAGATCTCTGTAGTTTGTACCACTTTATTCCATTGAAATGATAACTTTCCTAGCTTATGATTTGAAAAAAGAATAAATTGCTGAGTCATTTTTCAGGACCTCGGCAGATATATTGTCTATTCCTGCTGCTTTACGAAATTTAGCATGTATTGGGGCTTCTAATACTTCTTCTTTGGAAATTGGTTAATTTAAACATGTCACACTTATTTCAGTACTACATATTGTCCTGTCTAATGGATCATTTATAACTTCGTGACGCTTGAATAACGTCTCAAAGTCATTTCTCCATTTATCTAAAATTTTCGTTCTGTCATTAGTCGTCCTGTCGTAATTATCAACCAAACACGTTTTCTATCGTTTGCAATTTCGATTTTCTCAATCGACATTAAAAAATCTCTCTGGTTTTAATATTATTTAATTTGTCTTTCAGTTTTTGTTGTTGTTGTAATTGTTATTGTCGTTATACTTTCTATTCATTCTGTCAAAGGATTTTTTTTTGTTTTGCAGACAGAAATCTTCCTTTAATGTTCGCTTTCTGCTGCTATAACCAGTAAAACGTAGCCATATCCTATTCACATACCCTTTTCCAATGACTTCCTAATTCCTCATTCCAAAAGGGCTTATACCTCCTACGTCTGCCGGTGCCTGAATAACTTTCATGTGTAAAAATATGAAAAATAAGGAGATGTGATATGATAATCAGATTGCCAATGAGACAACTATCCACCAAAGTTCAAATGAAATGGATGTAAGCAATTACAAATTATAAGAAACCACACGCCTTCAACAATGAGAAAAACCAACACCGTATAGTGGGCTTTAAAAGGCCCCGACATGAAAAATATGAAACAATTCAATTGAGGAAACTATAACGGCCTCATTTATAACAAAACAATTTACGAAAAACATATTGACAGACATAATCCAACGACAACCACTGAACTACAGGCTCCTGACTTGGGACAGGTACATTAATAGTTTGTTATACTAGTATACAAAGTTTGTTTTTCATTTCAGTTTTTATCAAAAATTTGAATTCATCGAATACATGATAAACGCCGTTATTTTTCGATTCTCGCTATGGTTTGCATAACATCCAGTCTTATTTATTATATAATGCAAATTGTTTGTACTTGAAATGGCTTTTCGTGTGATAAATATAATTTTAAGTTAGTGTTTTATCTGGCTAACATTCACCAAAACAGTTATTATTTAGTCTAGATGTGGCACTTAGTACCGTATGCATTTTTGTAGCATAAATGATTGCTGTTTTTACCTCCTGTAATTTTGCAAAAGTTAAGTATATGCTAGAACATTACTATTTACTTAATCATTGTTTTTGGCTGCACTATATACTCAAGCTGAGAACGGAAGATAATATATGATGTTTTAGTCCCAGACTTAAGCTATGGCGAGGGCATCATCTTTATATAGTTCAGTTTTAGAATAGATTCTAACACAGTATGATGGTTTTTTATTTTCCGAAACTCAGAATACACACTCTAGCTCAATCACCGGGAGTCACTTGGTAAATTATGATTGTTTGTCGTTTTTTTAATCCTAGAATCGTTTGTTTGGCGTAATTAAAATAGTTGATTATAAAATGGTGTTTGTTTCTTTTGTGTGTTTCGTTTTTGTTAAAACCATTCCATCATAGATAAATAGCAGTGTTTTACAATCCACAAACTTAATCCAATTTTAGATGACAATTGTAAGGTTCCATACTGGGATGTTGTTGTATATCAATACAGAAGACTGGATACATGAACGTTCACATCTTTATTTTTCCATCCAACATATATACAGTCAGTTCATAAAACATATATACAAAACAGTTATCATGGCAACATACATTAACCCGCCCGGCTACTCGCAGATCGAGAGCGGGGCGAACCGATGCGTCACATATATGGTTCTCTCTCATTTTTCTCCTCCTTTTTTTCAAAATTAACTTTTATAAAACATATGATCATAGACACGTTTTTAACTTACAATTTCAAGCATTTTTACAACTTGACATGACAACTATATTAAATTTCTCATGGCAGTCTTCATACCAAATTCATCATGTCAAACGAAACGACTTTTCCTTTCGAATTCGTAATTTTCCTTTCATCATATGACGGGAAAGTTCGATTGGCTCCTTATTTCTCAAGTGACTCAGGCATGGTGAAATATGATAAAAATAGACCAGTTTCAAGTCAATGAACGTAATATTTTTTATATTAGATAAACTGGCAAATATCAACAAGGATATCTGAGATATCATAAATAAATTTGACATAGTTTTTTTTATGGTAATATTAGTTGTAAATAAAAATAAGTTTTACTAAAATGTCTAAAATAATACCTGGGACCGATACATAATATATTAGTCCCAGATGATACCAACTTTACTTTTTCTGTGTAAGCTAAAACGGTTTGAAATAGTTTTCTATTTGTTGTAATTTTATTATCTATTTATTTTCAAATGCAAATGAAGACTGAAAAGTGGACTGGTGTGGACTTGCAAAGATTTGTTATACAGTACGTTAGATAAAGACGTGAAGGACGTACGTCCTAGATTTATTTTTTAAATTGTTTTGCTCTAATTTGTTACATCAAGAGTAGGTAACTCGGTAGAGGCGCTCCAGTGCAGGTGCGAGGTAACTTCCGTCTTCCTTGGCAACTGCTACAACAAAATATGGCGTTATCCAAGTAAAGAAATGTGGGTATTGGTAAATTTAAATGACATTAATAATGATTATTTATTTTCCTAACATATTCAACCTTTGTGCATAACGATTAAAAAATCCTTAGAAATTCTTAGCATTTGTTTAGATGGTGATCATGAGCATTTGAACAAGTTATTACATTCTTTTACTTTAGTTTTAGGTTTTTTGGATGAGACTTAGTTAGCTAAGGTTTGGACCCTCAAAGTTTAAGTTAAAGAAGGCCCAATTTATATCTGCTACATTTAAAAGACTGTCAATACAGTTATTTTAAAGGCATATTCAAATATTTATCTAACTCCTATTTTATCATAAACAGGTGGGAATGCCATTAATCACTGATGCTTGTGAATTGATTAATAGATGGTTCAATAGGTGCTGCCAGCAATTGGTGGAACTCTCTAATTAATTCATGAAGAACAACACATTTTTGTATTAAAGCAAATTACACACGGAAACATTAGATTTATAGCAGATTCAAGATGCCTATTGCTCAAACAAGACTTGAAACACTGCAAGTATGCAAACTTTTGCAATGTGTGAGGGAAAAGGACAAAGAATCTATAGAGAAAATGACACTCCATGGAGTACCTCATCTAGTCAATTATAATGATCAGAATGATGGTTTGACAGCTCTTGGAGTTGCAGCAACTTCAAATGATGATGACATGATAAGATTTTTATTGCTGCTTGGTGCACATCCAGATGTGATGGACTTCAAGGGGCGTTCAGCTGCAATGCGAGCAGCTGAGTATGGTCATGTTGAATGTCTGGTAGAGCTTTGTAAAAATGGTGCAAACATGAAACTAACAGATTTGGAAGGAAAAGGTAAAAACATAACTGTACACTTGTATGCATGCTAATAATTGAAAACTTGTTGCCTCCAAAACAAGTACTTTTCTTGAAAGAGTAAATTTAGTGATTTTTCAGTTGTTCATCTCTGTATTCAAAACATTTCTATGTTTGACCTTTTCATGAACTTACAATTTCCCCAAGAATTAATCACTAGAAAAAGGTTTCAAAAAGAGATGCATGTAATTGTATTCTTCTAAGCCCCAACAACTGAACATATAATACAAAATTCATATTGAATTTTTTTCCTGTAGTATCGTAAACCCCTTGTGTCAATAACACCGCCAACACAACATGTAATTGGGAATATGAAGACAGTAGCCCAACAACACCATTTCAAAAAATAAAAACAGGTTTTTGAGATGGGCATATTGTCTTCAATGATAGACACATGATTTTGGAATCATAATTTTGATTTCTTGAAAAAGATATAGCTCTGGACAAGAAGACCAAAAGATATCAAGGAACTTTAGTTTTTAAATAATGATGTTTTGATAAAAAAGTAAATTATTACAATTTAATTTATATAATTAAGAGGTCACATAATTTTCAAAGTATATATTATACATGTAAATGTCACTATTATTACATGCTTTTGTCGAGCCTGCGACTTTTGTCGCAGAAAGCTCGACATAGGGATAGCGATCCGGCGGCGGCGGCGGCGGCGTTAGCTAACTTCTTAAAAGCTTTATATTTTAGAAGATGAAAGACCTGGATGCTTCATACTTTGTATATGGATGCCTCATGTTACGAAGTTTCCGTCAGTCACATGTCCAATGTCCTTGACCTCATTTTCATGGTTCAGTGACTACTTGAAAAAAAAGTTGAGATTTTTTGTAATGTTAAATTCTCTCTTATTATAAGTAATAGGATAACTATATTTGGTATGTGTGTACCTTGCAAGGTCCTCATGCCCGTCAGACAGTTTTTACTTGACCTCGACCTCATTTCATGGATCAGTGAACAAGGTTAAGTTTTCGTGGTCAAGTCCATATCTCAGATACTATAAGCAATAGGTCTAGTATATTCGGTGTATGGAAGGACTGTAAGGTGTACATGTCCAACTGGCAGGTGTCATCTGACCTTGACCTCATTTTCATGGTTCAGTGGTTATAGTTAAGTTTTTGTGTTTTGGTCTGTTTTTCTTATACTGTATGCAATAGGTCTACTATATTTGGTGTATGGAATGATTGTAAGGTGTACATGTCTAGCTGGCAGGTGTCATCTGACCTTGACCTCATTTTCATGGTTCAGTGGTCAAAGTTAAGTTTTTGAGTTTTGGTCTTTTTTTCTAATACTGCATGCAATAGGTCAGCTATATTTGGTGTATGGAATGATTGTAAGGTGTACATGTCTAGCTGGCAGGTGTCATCTTACCTTGACCTCATTTTCATGGTTCAGTGGTCAAAGTTAAGTTTTTGAGTTTTGGTCTTTTTTTCTAATACTATATGCAATAGTTCAACTATATTTGGTGTATGGAAATATTTTATGATCTATATGTCAGTCACGCAGGTTTTATTTGACCTTGACCTCATTTTCAAGGTTCATTGCTCAGTGTTAAGTTTTTGTGTTTTCGTCTGTTTTTCTTAAACTATAAGCAATAGGTCAACTATATTTGTTGTATGGAAGAATTGTTAGCTGTACATGCCTGCCTAGCATGGTTCATCTGACCTTGACCTCATTTTCATGGTTCATTGGTCAATGTTTAGTTTACTTGGTTAATGTTAAGTTTATGTGACAGTTGTAATATAGCTTTATATTTAGGACTATCAACATAATATCAATGATTAGGAAAGAAGGCGAGACATTTCAGCGTGTGCACTCTTGTTATAGGTTTTATGTGTATTTCTTTTCAGGTATATTGTTTTACTGTATAACACCAACAGAAAGACATTCTAAATGTTTAGAAATTGCAGTAGAAAATGGTGCTGATATCAACAATATCTCCAAAGAAGGTATACCTGTTCTTATGTTTTCCTGTGAAACTGCTTCAGAAAATGAGGATACTTGTATATTGCTAATGGAAAAAGGAGCTGAACCTAATGCCAAACAAGAAGTAAGATTAACAACAGAATATATTGGGAATTTTGGCTGATTTATGATGCAATTTCTAATTAATTTGGATTGTCTTGACTTATTTTAGATTAATACACATTCAACAGTAAAATCTGATTCATTCATATTTATATGATAACATTACATGTATGTTTCATAAGAATCAATACTTTTGATTGGCTGAAAGCAATTGCTAGACATTCCAATATCAAAAAGCGTCTCTCAATAAAATTTAACATTCATGACATATGCTTGTCATGACATCGTTACATCATTGCATAGGAAAACAAACAAAAAATTTGCTAAAACTCTTATTGCATGGTTGTAGCATGAATATGTAATTATAAGAATTGAATGCTTCATATTTAGAACTAAATATACTTCTTTCAAAGATTTTACACCCCAATAAAACTACAAAAAGAATCATTCAATTCTTAACCCTTTTCTCCATATGAAATCTGATAATTAACGATGTTTGATACCTTGTTTTTGTGCAGATTAAGATTTTGTTATTCATTTTTGCAGAAAACTGGAAAAAATGCACTTATGGCAGCAGCAGCTAGTGGTAGTGTAAAGGTTGTTCGTGCTATCCTAGAGGCTGGTGGTGATGTGAATGCTATTGACATTAAACATGGCCATGCTGCACATTATGCCTGTCAGAGCGGTAATCTACTAGTCTTGGCCTGTATGGCTGGGTATGGTGCACAGTTTGACCAGTACAACTCGGACAATAACAACCCAATACACTTATCTGCCCTACATGGACATGGAATGTTTTGTAAATTCCTTGTACAAAGAGGTAAGTAAGGTTATTACAGTTTGACTTGTAATGCTTTAGGCAAAAATATAGAATAATTTGCTTCCAGCCTCCTAACAAAAAAAAAATAGGGTATGTAGATAAGGTTCGTAGGGAGGAAGGAAACAAAACTATAGAAACTACATTATTGGTAAATGCGGAGATATTAAATAAGTGATAAATGAAAACGGGTAAGATTTACATCACTTACTGGTATCAGCTTTGTATATGATCTTACTCCATGTGGATTCATTATTTGTTATGGTACAAATGTATAACTAATAAAAAATCCTATTGACACCAATGGTATAGTCAAATAACAAGATTAGCTTACTGTTGCCTTGAATGCAATAAGAGAGAAAAAATACAAAATAAGTTAACTTTTATCATGGATACTGTTCAGTAGAAGCAAATAACAAGATTAAATTACCTTTACTGTAGATAAAATTGTTGGAGAAAATAAATTCCATGCAAACAACGTAGTACTGTACATGCATTGCATCAAATTTGGGGATTTTCCACAATAACAAAAAATGCTTTTCCCCCCTTATATTTATAAAGTGTAACTTTATTGTCATACATTGTATGCACTTTTTCACTTGAGGGTACTTCTTATGGAAATAAAAGATATTCTATTCTATAATGTTGGAATGAAGACTAAAATAAATTCCTACACAAATCATTTCTTTTTTATTTAATCTTGAATATAGGCTGTAATCCCAAACCAAAGAATAATGATGGTGATGTTCCAAAAAATATAGCCAAAGACAAAGACAATAAAGAAGCAATGAAAGAATGTCGAAAAGCTGAAAAGTCATTTGGTAAAGTTGGAAAGAACAATGAACCTTGGGCAATCCAGTTGTATGACTGGGTTTATGAAAAGCAGAAGAAACTATTAGACAGATTTCAAGCATTTGATACTGAAGACAGTGGTAAAATCATGAAAGAATCATTTAGTGATGTGCTACAAGGTATGAATGCTCCAGTTGAAGAGGAGGATATGAAGAAATTAATTCTAGCTCATGATAAAGCTCATGATGGAAATGTTGATTACAATGATTTCATTGGGGCTAAAAAGTGGGTAAATAAAAACTATCTTATGAGTGCATTTGAAGGCAAGAAAAAGAAAAAGAAGGGTGGTAAGAAAGGAGGAAAGAAGAAAGGAAAATTCAAATTGGTGATGCCAGTGTGTGTGAAAGAGGATGGACCTAGAACATATGGTGGAGGACCTCCAGAAATGTTTATTGAGAGACACATAAATTTCACTGACACTGGAAGATTTGATAGAGACAAGCCACCTCACCATCCTCTTCAGGATGATTCATCTTGGTACCTACAACATCCAGAAAGGATGTACATAAATGTTACTGATGCTACTAAAAATGGTGACTTTGATTCTCTTAGGACTGCATTCCAGAAAGGATCACATGTTGATACCAGAGACAAGTATTATAAAACTCCTCTCATGTGTGCATGTTCAGCTGGGAATCTGGAAATGGTCAAATTTCTGCTCGAAAATGGGTAGGTTACATACTGGTATATAACAATTGAAGTTCATGGTCACACTAAAAGTTACATATATTTCAATGGGTTCTTGTAAAATTTTTGTACATGTTTTAACTTTCTTAAAAGTTTATGCTTATTGTCAAAAATTAGGGTTGATTGTTTAATTGATTTGTACTTAATGTTTAGAAGTTAAAATTACATGCTATTTAGGTTGATGATATGTTGATGTCATATGAATATACACTGTTTTGCATTAGACGGTCTAGACCTGTAAACAACATATTGAATCAGATTTGTGCTAGCTCACAAGGTAAAAATTCACAAGAAGACATGTCAGTTGTCACCAAGACACATTGTCGTAACTCTGAGCTGACCATCTTTTGTTTTTACTCCAAAATGCAGAGAATAAAAATAAATGAGATGATGTGGTGTAAAAATCAATGAGACATACATGATGTAAGCCCATCAACTCAATAAACCAACACATTAAATGCAAAAGACATGTTAAAATCAATTAACCTTGTTGGGGATTAAAAATTATTCCCAACTTCAGATAAGCAAGCTACCATGAGATCACTGAGGCAATAAAAAAAACTTTTTAAAGCAGAACATTTGTATATTTGTTGAATGTTCAAATCTATATACACCTCAAGATTCATACATTTGTACATGTAATGTTCTTTTTGTTTCTATACAAAGTACAAGAACACTGTTTTTCTTATTTTAATATTGTTGAAGATTAATAAGAGGTTTTTTAAATGTTTTTGTTTATATGAGAAATTTAACACAGAAATTTTTGTCTCTATTATTAGCTTAAACCAACCTCTATATGTATAATGTTTTCTGTTTTCTAGTGCCAATATAAATGCTCGAGACAATTTTAAGTGGACGCCATTGCACCATGCCTGTCATTCTGGTCAGTTAAATGTTGTAGAATTTCTGATTGAGCATGGTGCAGAAATAGATGCCACAACAATGAATGGTGGAACACCACTAACAAGAGCTATAGAGAGTTCCAAAGAGAATGTGGTGGCTTACCTAATTAGCCGAGGAGTCAGAGTTCAAACTGAAAATAAGAAAGGTAAAAATATATAGTAGTACAATATTTTCTGACATTTAAATGGTTATATTAAAACCCTATATTTCAGTGATGCCTTCAACCAGATGAAAAAAAATTAAGGTAGCTGGGGTCTAAATGTTCGGCAATAGATTTTTCTTAAACTTCTGTAAAAGACTTCTGGGTCAATGTACTTTCAAATTTCAATATAAAAACTGGGGGTCACAGAAATTGCTTTTTAGTTAAAACATATTTTAATTAACAAATCACATTTATTTTATATAGGTTATATAGAGGAAACTTAATTTTCCCTTATTGAGGAAACACTAAACAATAGAATTGGTTAAAATTCAATGAGAGAATTGCTTTTCATAAATAATACCAAAATATCAAATAAAGATAGGGGTTATGGGCCTTATTTTCTAAAAATATATCTGCCCTTGATTTTAAAACGATTATTTTCTGAAAAATTTAAAAACCCTTAATGACACTTGAATTTTTTTATAAATTCAAGATTTAGATGTTTCTGTTGTATATTGAATGATACTTGATAAAATACTTGCATCATGCCCAGAAGGGATGCTCAGAAAAAGACACCCAATCTACCTTAACACATTACTGGTAATAAAATAAAAGGTTTGTTGTAAATCATGGGTATTCCTCTTTCCGTCACCAGTAAATTTAACCGACTGGTTCATAAAATTGCATTAATGTAAAAGAAGTGGCATTAAGTCTTAATGAACAAGCTATAATGAACTTAGAATTTATTTGGGTTGTAGTTTTTCAAGATACAAAAAAATTGTTAACAGTGGCATTCATGTTCTATGATCTATTACCAGATATAAACTGCCCAATACTATGTTTCATTTATTGTTTTTAAAACTAGGTCACAATCCAATGGATTTAGCTTTAGCTTGGGCTGATCCAAGGGTTATAGATGTAGTTCAGTCTAAATGGGAGAGTTTACCCACTCCAAGTGACAAGAAAGGGGGAAAGGGAAAAGGAGGAGGTAAAGGCAAAGGAGGGGCTAAAACAGCTAGACCAGCTTCAGGGCCAGGAGATCAGAAAGAAAATCAAGCTCCAGCTTCACAGGTAAAAAAACCAGAACAACCAAGACAAGATTTGTACAAAATGTTATATCAATCCATTTGATTAAAAAACAACCAGATTAACGTATTTACATAAATTTAGTTTATAGCATTTAATTTGTTACAGCATTCTTTTCATGTAGGATGTATCCCTTGTCTTGTTGAACACCATCATTTAATACTTAAATGTTCTTCTCTTCAAATATTTATGTGCCAGTATTGACATTAGGAAAAATATACATCTAAAACCGAAAGGTAAAGTTAATTAACACTAAGACATTTATTTATGGTGTTGAACCTTGTTTCTTGCAGGCTGTAGAAAATTCTTACTACTAATGAAAAAATTATGCATGATATATCACAGTTTTCATGTAACTCATTTTGCTCAAAATGATTTCATTGCACAATGTGTCTAAAGTTTGGCTTTAAGTGCAATTATAGACCTATATGTCTATTAGGTAAATTTGCACTTTGAATTCTTTTCTCACTAAGAAATAAAAGTATGCATGTAAAAATTCAAAGTTTTAGAAACCATAGTGGGAGTTACTTATTTTGTTTAGCATTTTTTGTTGTTGAGTCATTTAAAAAACTAAATGAATTATTACAGCAAACAGGAGAACGTTTAACGACCACAGGTACCACTACGGGTACAGACCAACAATCATCAATTGTAAGCCATTAGGGAGTGGTCATATCTGTATAGATTATAGTATAAATTATCTTTTATATAAGGTTCAGGAATATTAGTCTTTACTCTGTGGTATTACTTATAACTCTGGTATTATTTGGATTATATTATTACTCTGTGGTATTATTTGGATTATATTTTCTAATATATTACATGATGACACATACAAATGCAAGGGCTAATGTTTTTTCTACTATATATTTCAACATTTGTTAAGATATTTGACAATTTAAGTCTACCTACCCATAAAAAAAATGTTTCTAATTTGCACATTAATCTTCAACTTTGTCATCTTTTTTTTTTAATTATCACTCACAAACATTAGAGCATATCTAATGATCTAATCCCCCTTAAATCAACTTTTTGAGAGAAAAAATGGCATGGGAAACCAATTTCAGATATGGAAACATATTTGGTGATCAAAACATTTCTCATTTTATAAGATTCTTTTAGGGAAAATATTTTTAATTTTTTATAACTTGACCAAAAAGATATCTATTTATTTTCCCAGCTCCATGTGGTGAGGGGGACACAGAAATACCAGGTGTCCATCTGTTGTCCAGGCTTCTTAGCACTCTCACATGTGCAATTTTTTCCAGATTTTTATTAAACTTATATCATAGGTTTATATCAGCAATGTCTTGGACAAGTATGAAAATCAGTGCCGATAAACTATTTTTGTCTCGCCTTGACGGAGTCAAAAAGGGAGACATAGGTATGCTGTTTCCGGCGGCGTCAACAATGTATTAGTTTGTGATTAGGTCTAGTTCATGGTGAACCACTAGTGGTAGGTCAATGATATTTGGTATGCAGTTGTATTAGCATTGGCACATCTCATTACCATGGAGTTTAATTGGCCACGTCCCCTCAGTCAAGGTCAATTGACTTTGAAACTTTTCATAGTCAACATGTATTAGTTTGTGATTAGGTCAATTTATGGGGAACCACTAGTGGTAGGTCAATGATATTTGGTATGCAGTTGTATAAGCATGGGCATATCTCATTTCCATGGAGATTATTTGGCTCCACCCCCTTAGTCATGGTCTATAGACTTTGAAAATTTTGCTAAGTTAACATGTATTAGTTTGTGATTAGGTCAGTTCAAGGGGAACCATTAGTGGTAGGCCAATGTTAATTGGTGTTCAGTTGTATAAGCATTAGCTCATCTCATTTCCATGGAGAATATTTGGCCCCGCCCCCTCAGTCATGGTCTATTTACTTTGAAACTTTTGCTTAGTTTACATGTATTAGTTTGTGATTAGATCAGTTTAAGATGAACTGCTAATGTTAAGTCATTATGTTCCTGCCGTAGCGGTGGGGGCATTAAGTTTTACCCTTCTCCGTCTGTACATACGTCCGTCTGTACGTCCCAATATTGGTTTCCGTTCTCTAATTTGAGTTTGCCTCAACCAAATGTTATGAAACTTATACACAATGCTTATTACAACAAAACACAGATCAAATTTGAATTTTGGTGGCATCACTTCAACCGTTCTAGAGTTATGCCCCTTTATAAATGGAAAATTTCAAAATTTTTAGTTTCCGTTCTTTAACTTAAGTTTGCCTCAACCAAATGTTATGAAACTTATACACAATGCTTATTACCACAAAACACAGATCAAGTTTGAATTTTGGTGGCGTCACTTTAACTGTTCTAGAGTTATGGCCCTTTATAAATGAAAAAATTGCAAAATATTTATTTTCTTCTAAATGTGAAGTAATTTTATCTTCCTTTGTCCATGATTATAGTTGAATCAACTACAATCAATGCTTTATACAATGCAATGTTTAATTTTGACTTCCAGTGATAAAACACAGATCAAGTTGAATTTGGGAAGTGTCACTTTAACCATTAATTAGTTATGCCCCTTTATAATTCGAAAGATTGCAAAATTTTTAGTTTCCATTCTGTAACTTAAGTCTGCCCCAACCAAACATTATGAAACCTATACACAATATTCATTTCCACAAAACTAAGATCAAGAACAAATTTTTTGTTTCCGTTTTCTAACTTTAGTTTGCCTCAATCAAATGTTATGAAACTTATACACAATGCTTATTACTACATAATACAGATTAAGTACGAAATTTGGTGGCGACACTTTTACCATTCTTGAGTTATGTCCCTTTATAAACATAAAAATTGCTGAATTTTTTAGTTTGTCTCAACCAAATGTTATAAAACTTACACACAACCGTTCTAGAGTTATGCGCGTTTACAAATAGAAAAATTGCTGAATTTTTAGTTTCTGTTCTCTACTTAAGATAGCCTCAACCAAATGTTATGAGACTTACACACAATGCTTATTACCACAAAACTCAGATCAAGTTCAAATTTGGGTAGCGTCACTTTTATTGTTCTTCAGTTATGTCCCTTTATAACTATATGATATGCAAGCGGGGGCATCATCTGTGTCCACATGTGGACACTATCCACATTTATTGATATTTGGTATGCAAATTTATTGGCATTTGCAAGTATCGTTTCCATGGAGATTATATAGCCCCACCCCTGATCATGGTTCATTGACTTTGAAACTTTTACATAGTTTACAAGTTAATGTTTGTGTTTAGGTTTGTTTAAAGGGAACGACTTATAATAAGTCAATGGTATTTGGTATGCAGTTGTATTAGCATTGGCACATCTCATTCCATGGAGATTGATTAGCCATCTCATTCCATGGAGATTGTTTAGCCATGTACCTTCAGTCATGGTTCATCGACTTTGAATATTTGCATTACTTACATGTTAAAGTATTGCAATTTTAATTTCAACATTTGCATTATCAAAATTACAAAAAGGCGAGACATATCTCTGTGATAACAGTTTATTAAAAGAGTTATGCCTCTTGGAAATATTAATTATATGAAATATTGCATTGTTAGTGCTCTCATGTATACAATTCTTGCCAGATTTTTATCAAATTTATATCAGCAATGTATCTGATAAGTTTGAAAATCAGTGCCGATCAAATATTATTAAAGGAGTTATGCCCCTTGGAAATATTAATTATATTTGCTCTCAAGCCTTTATTTTTCTAAGATATTTGTAAAAGGTTTTAAAGAGGAAAAAAGAGTTTTTTTTATTTATTGTCCTTGGAAAGATCAAATATGTGCAACACGGGGGACATTGCAACTTTAAATTGTGTTAAATGTTGTCCAAATCAACTGTAGTTAGTTGGTCTTCAACATGTTTGGTAATGTTTCAAAATCTGAAATCTGATTGACAAATATTGCCATATTCCTGTTGTCATCATTTAATATATCAAATAGATATATATATATATGGACATATCTTGCACTTCAGAATTATTGGAGTTTTCTTCACTGTGTGAGTTATCTCCCTTGAGAATTTTGTTTTAATTTGTTGTATTGTTTTTGTTTCTAAATTTAGTTGTTTTATAATTTTCATTAGATACTTTTTAAACATTTTATTGAGTACGAATGGTACATTCCCATGGTAATATGATATGATATTAAATAAAATATTGAATCTGAATTTGTAAAAAATGTTAATTTTAATGTTGATGAGTTGGAATGCATAGACAGTATATATATAATTTCAATAAATTTTATTTAACAATTAGCCAGTCTTATTTAAAAGGTTAAGTAAGAAGATGAAAAATATTGAATTTAAAAAATACTCATTATGGCATCACATTTAAAAATAAAACTGATGTCCTTGCCTACCTTGTATACACATTTAAGTCATTGATATTTTGGATTTTTACACAGGTACCCTCAAGAGCATCCTCAGCATCAAATTGATGTAAGCAATTTGGCAAGAACTATAAAATTGATTTTAGATTGTCATCCCCTTATCATACATCGGGTATATTACAAAATTTACATCTGAGAAAAATAAGGGGTATGCATTCCCATAATCTTTATTACCTATACAACAGTAATACAAATATTTGATAGGGGATGAGAATCTAGAAATGTTTTTGGTTTGGCCTCAGTGTGCTGAAATCACCTTTTTAATTATGGTGTGGTATTAAAGCTTTGATGGTCACAATGATATTCTGGATGCATTTTGAGCTAATTTCTTATTTTATAATTTATAATTTTATTTTTGTATAGTAATCAAGATAAGCTGTTTAGAACCAAAGGGTAATGATATGTAGAATTTTTTTTTTTATAAATACTACTATCTGCCAGTCTTTAAATAAGCACTCTGCATCTAGATATTTAGATTAATTATGTTTAATTTAGCTGAACTGTAAATGATTTGCTTTCTGAAAAATCAATTTTATAACTATATTAGAGACCTCCTTACATAAAGTGTAAACTGCATTTTTTTAAATATACAAGTTCATTCAATTGTCACTTTTCTGAATTGATAGTTTTTTTCATGAAGCAAGTCATGCTCTTCAAGCAAGGGGTGATAGAAATTATTTAATAATCATATTATCTCCCCTTGTCTTTGGGTGCCTGTGTGAAATCCTCTACTGTAATCTAATATTTAATGTTATTAATTTCATTACTATTAAAAAGCAAAATGGACATATTTATTTGCTTGGTAGTTGTTTTCATAAATATCAAATAAATCAAGGGAAATTTCAAAATAAGTTACAGGATATATTTTATCATTACCTACTTAAAGTCACATAAATATACTGGTAATAATGTTTTTTTATTTGAATGCTATTTGTGTTGAAAAAAATCAATGTCTCATAGTCATAAGAACAGTTCTCTTAGGTAAAGTAACAAGACTGAAAAAAATGTGTTACAGTTCCATTTATAGTACAGAATTCTATTATTTAAGGAATTTATGAAAAAGCATGACTCTAATATAAGATCATGGCAAAGTGTGATAAAGCATGCAATCATGTTTCACCTTATTGTATCTGACAAAAAAAAACATTTCTTCACATCACTTATGAAAATATATTTGTTTTGATCATATAAAATAAACCATAGATATAGCAGTAAAATACTGCATGTCAGAAAATTTCTGTGGCACTTTTAGACTGTTTCAGAATGTTTAAAATTTAGTTTATAAAAACATTAATTATTCACTGAAAAAGTGCATACAAATCTATAGTTTTAAATCAAACTCTTATTACTGTTTGATTTAAAACTATAGATTTGTATGCACTTTTTCAGTGAATAATTAATGTTTTTATGAAATATATATTAATATTTTCTTCAAATGTTGTTCATTTAGTAATTATTAAATAATAACTTTCATGAAGTTTTCTGTGTACTGTAGAAAACAAAATGTGTATATTAACTACAGTTCAAATGAATTTGTCCATTTCTTTTTCAACCAATGTTTGATATGTATATCAGACTATATCTCACTTCTATCATATGCAAACATCATTAATATAGTCAGTCATTATGATTCATAGTATAGTATTGCTTGTGACAATTAATGTCTCTAATCATTGTTGTGACAGTTTTAATTTTGTTATCACAGAGTGTTTCTTTTATATGTTACTTTCAACATTATTAGCTAATAGAAAGTCACAAAATTACATTTTGATGATCACAAAAATGCTATTTCAATAAAACACCATTTAAAGAATATAACTACAATACAAAACATCTTGTTCTTGCCATGTTTCAGCTCATAGACAAATGTAATAATGGCTTGTTTCTGATACTATTATTTTTTAAGGTTTTTTAAACCTTCTTTGCAGTAAAATGGATTTATTTACTTTTAAGAACAGTTTTATTTACAATAATGCACTGCCTTAACATTCTCTCAAATTAACATGGTCAGCTATCAGTCCTTCTCTGTCTTTAAATTATGATTGTAAAAAAATGTACTTAGAAATTCAGGATACTGAATATAAACTTCTATAATAGCATATATTGAAATAAGAATCAGAATAAAAGGATAATTTTGTGCAATAGCAGTTTGAAACTTTGCTTGAATTTTTCCTAAAAAAAAATAGAAAAATAAGTATTGGTTACTAGTTTATAACTAGTAGTACTTGTACTGGTAAAAAATCATTTATAGATTAACTAAGTGCGGTTAACAGTAACATTGCATTATTTCTTTTCTAACCCTTTTTTAAAAAATACATTTAAAATCACAGGATGTGTTATAATGGTATTAATATTTACGCACTTATGCTTTGCATGGAAAACACATTCATAAAAGCCAGTTTTTATTTTTGAATTTTGATGTTCTTTACATACAATGTGAATTTATTCTCAAAAATATATTTGTGCATCAATACACATTTAATGCACTATTATTGATATAGAAGACTAGATTTTAATATTTTTATTTTGTATTGAAATAATTTAATGCTACTCTCTTTTACAGAATCCATATGGTACAAGAGATTTCGAAGATGGGCCTCCAAGACAAAGAAAAGGATCAATATTACGTGCTGCTTCAGCACTTGCCCAGGGTTTAGATGAACAAGAAGATATAACATATATTCCTTTAAGAGCCTGGGTACCACAACCAACAACTGAAGATTTACTACAAGAAAAACAGAAGAAACGGGACCAGTTTACATGGGAAGTGGACTTTGATGACTTTCAAATGCCCTTCAATAAAAATGTTTCTAATCGATGTAAAGCCATGGAAAATGAAGATGACTGATTAGTTTTATTACACATAGTTCATTATTTAACAAACAAATTTTGAATATGTAAATTACCATATTTTTCTAATATAAATCTTTTTTTTTAAATGGAAAAGACAATATCTTCCATCTTTCAACTGCTAAGTCTTGTGCCAAACAAAAGGAATGTTTCTTTGTAAATTTTACAATAAATCATCTGTGGCCTTTAATTACTGAATTCAGTTAAATTGAAAACGTTTGAAAATTGTGTAAAGCACCATTATCTTTAAGAAGTACACAAATTTCACCTACTGAAAATGATGTTCTAAAGACTTTTTCAGATGGAATAATTTATAAAATATTTTGTTTTCTGAATAGTCATGTTTTGAATTCCCTATTTACAAGAATTCCATAGATTTATTTTCATGTCACTCATATTTTTTATGTAAATATTACTGTTTATTATATATTTTCAGAGTTTATGAATGCCAATACATGTATTTTATTTGCTGGTTCATTCTGTGATAATATTGACTTCAAATTTTGTGTGATATTTATGAATGTGCCTGACAGTTTTACTTATTTTAAGATACATTGGTTACTTTTTATGTTGAAATATGTGCTTATAATTTGTCTGAATTTGTTTCAATGATCTAGCTTTTTAATAAATTAACGAAAATTTGTATCTCTAAACAATACTTAAATGTGTTTGGAATACAAAAATGTGAAGCTACCTATTAATTTTGTAATTTTACAGTTTACATTGGCATTTCCAAATACTTAAATTTTTTTCAACAAATTTTTATATAACAATTTGGTTTTATTTGAGCAATAAATGATCCCCTAAGTTCTAAAAAAAGAACAACTATAAGAATGAAGATACTAAGAAAAAATATTTTCCACAAATATAACTTAACTTAGCCCATCTTCTTGCAACTAGTCTGTTCAACTCAAATTTTATTAAGGGCTATTTCAAAAATCAATTGTTATTGAAAACAAATTTGCTCAGTTGTAAATGGGTAAAGTGAACTGATTCAGGATCAGAAAGTAAGTTTCCTAAATAACTCTTGATCAAGGTTAACTTGAACAGACTAGATGTAACAAAAAGGGACATGGGCACATATTTTCTTTATTATAAACTAAATAAATTTTGAGACCCTGAACCTTGGGTTTAGAAGGTCCATCTGACCATGATGCATGATTGTCCAAAGTGTAAATGTACTAGATTTAATTAACGGTCTATTTGAAATATATGAAACATTGTTCTGTATTTGATGGAAAAATTGAAACAACCATAATGTTTATTTTACTATAATCTGCTGATTTATCTGAATAACATTGTGATATACATGTATTGTTTTTCCTTTGGCACACAAACTCTTGTTTTGTTGTTTGCCAGAGACAATTGTTCAAGTCTTAAGATAAATAAAATGTTAACAATTTGGTATTTTTTTATGTTCACTGAATAGATCTTTCTTGTACAAAAGTTATATTGCCTGATAATAGATTGTCAAAGACAAAATACAATTACCTGTTTCTAGGTTATGAGTATTTGATTATTTGCAACTAAATTTTCCTTTTAAGTCAAAGACCCAAACATTCATGATTACTAAATATTTATACAACTTTGATATGGAGAAAAATATGGAATAACTGGTAGAAGGATAAGACAACAATTCAATGAAAAACTACTTTATAATCTAAGAAAAAGACTTTTGTTGATGTTCATCCTTACAGTTGCTGAAAGCTCATTGGACTTAGCATCAACACCGGACACTTACTCCTAGTGACTTCATAATAATTGCTACATGTCTTTTAAAGAACAAGTGCATGGTTGATCATAAACAATATGAGGTAAAGAGTAAAGTCATGTTACTAATATGTAATTTACGAATTAATGATAAGAAATACCGGTACTGTAAATTAAGAAATTATTGCGATTTTTAAAGAATGTACATAATATGGTCCATAATTGACCACATGATCATTTAAGGTTATGGAAAGCCAGATAAATTTCTGTTTTACTAATAATGTAAAATATCCATATGGCCACCAAATTGCTTTTGCTTCTTAGCAGTAAAGATATGTGTTGTTAGCAGTGTATTCATCCTTACTGAAGACTTTACTCATCCTGCAAACAAAGTTAACCTCAATAATCATATTTTGGTCAATAGTACTTGTTCCAAAGAAAAATACTAATTAAAGCAAAATATTAAGATGGCAATCCTTTTTACAAACTGGACAGTTGGAATAAAAAGGATACTGTTTGGTAACCCAAATGTTTTGTACCCAGCATATGAAGTCTAACAATGACAACACTACAAAAACTAGATATGGACGATGCCCTCCTCTGCTCTGCCATATACATGAGTATAGTTCCACATACTTTAGATTTGACAAACAGTGATGTTGAATTACAAATTGAAATTGTTGCGTTATTTGTCAGTCACAAATGATGACCCCGTCTGACCATAAGAATTATAAATTTAACACTATGTATGATGATCTATCTTTTCTTTTTATTCTGAATGTCTACACTTGCAGGACTAAATGTCCAGCCAAAAGGTTTCAACTTTCCAGTTTTAGTTGTCACTAAGTTCATCTTTATATTTCCAGTGGTCACTAAGTTTATCTTTATATTTCAAGTGGTCACCAAGTTCAACTTCCTGGTATTGATTAAATATTTGACAATACTAAAAAATCTTATTTATTACATTAGGGACATTAAACTGTAGTAGTACAAACCATGCTTTCAATTATATAGCAAGTGAAGAGGAAATGATGTCCAACTACCTGTTTTTGTGAATATCAACATCCTTTCTGATTTTAGTAAAAAAAAAAAAAAATGACTAAGTCCAAATACCTGGCATTTTGGAATTCTGTGAAGGATCCCACATTCCAAACATGGTTATGCTATACTCAAAATAAGTGAGTATTTCACATGACAAAAGAACTAAACATTATTTTTTATCAGTTGCTAAACTATGAACATGAGGTCAAGGTAATTGGACATATGACAGAAGGAAACTTCTTAACATAAGGAATCTGCATACAAGGTATGAAGCATCAAGGTCTTCTACTGTCTGAAATCTAAAGCTTTATAAAAATAGTTTTAAGCCGTCACCACCAGACAGGATTCTTTAAGTCTCATATTCAGGCAAAATAAAAAAAAACTGTCTTGATTTTGACAACTTAAGATAAGTAATGAAGAGAGAAACATGCAAGACAGACATGTAGATAGATAGTTGACATTGACTATTAGTATTACTTATAGTATTAAAAAAACGGAATAAAAAGGATAATTAACTAAGACACTGAAGCTGAGGTCAGATGAACATATACCTGTTCAGTGTGCAACCATTTAAATAACAAGATATAGTTGACCTTTTACTTATTTATCTATGAAAATGACCCAATCATGAGTACTATGAAATGAAGTAAAGATCAGGTAAATCAGGTGTGAGGGACATAGTTATATATACCAAATATAGGTGATTAGTTTTTTATACTGGCATTGAACCATGAAAATAAAGTAAAGTAAAACAAACTTATGCCAGATAGAAACTTGACCAGATATCTTAATACAAGAAATGGAAGTACATGTATCTAGCTCTTCTACCATCTTAAATATAAAACTTTATGCAGCTGTTATCAAATTTTCACAGCCCATTGTATAGCATTCTGGTAGGAATAGGTGAGATTGACTTTATTTATTAAGATCTGTCAAGCAATTGCATAAGTTTGAAGAGTCGCTATAAAGCAAATGAGGAATATAGCGTTATCAGTTATCACTCAGTATAATTTGAAAACATTTTGTTCTATATTTGATGGAAAAAAAATAACTATGCCAGACATGTACACCATCTTTTTCTGACTCTAGAGGCTCTAAAGAACTGTGTCGCTCACCTGAATCTGAATGCACATCTTCAACAATTACCACTCTCCATTATTATATACTAGAATATAATTCCTGACTAAATGCTCTTTTTTTGTGTATCTTGTGTTGCTGATAATTTTTTATTTGTTTAGGGGATCCTCTATCTACTTTACTTTTTGCCACACACACAAAAAATTCATTTAATTGTAGGTACTGTGGATTAATTTCTTTTCATGGCTACCAATTTTCGTGGATTGAGGAAAATTTGTGTTTTCTTGGATGTTTACATACAACCCCTTATAAGATTTACAATACATTGAAGATTTAAATTCATGTTTCACCTATGCCAACGAAATCGTTGAATATTGGTATGCCACGAATAATAATGAATCTGCAGTATGTTAACTTATTTGTAGATCTTGTCCCGCTGATCTGATCAGTATTTTGTCTACACGCTCATCAATGTAGTAGCAAATACTCATTTTAAAGTTTTTGGTTTGACCACACCAAAGATGACTATGAAACCACAAGACCACCATAGTGGTTACACAAAGATTTGTACACCAGTTGTTCATGAACACACTTTAAACTGTGATTTTATGCACTGTAAAAAAGTAGCATAACTTTTCGTGCTTGAGTATACATACAGGTAATAAAAATGAAGACAAAACCGAACAGTATATAGATTTTTTTAATCATTTCCTTTCAAGTAGGACTTTAAATAATTTAATAACCAAGTTAAAATGATATGTTACACTGCTTCAATATCACAGAATAAGAAATAAAAACACATATTAAAATAAAAACTTATATAAAATGTTGGACGGCGATTGATTTTCATTAACAGTAGGAACAGGGGAGACAGTATGTTTCTTATTTGAGTTTTTTTGTTTTGTTTTCTAAAAATAAACTTAATGTAAAATAAGTTTATACATTAATTTGCAGAATTTAAAAGAGAATGAAAAGTTAAATATGTGAATATTAAAAATAATAATATGTCTCATCAGTGTTTTTGGTTTCATTGTGTAGAATGTAATCAGCCAATAACAATGACAATATTTCTCTGCAGAATCATTTTTTTTGTTAAAATGCAGTAAAATTTTGAAAATAATTGTGTTTATGTAAGGAACATTTGAAAAAATATAAGAAAAATAAGTTGAAAAAAGAACTTTTAACTCAATATTTGAAGACTGAAAGAATTCAAAAAGTCTATACACAAATACAAAACAATACATTTTTACCAAGAATTACTTTTTAAAAAGTGAAAATAAAGAGGAAAGATTTGCAAGAATGTTCTAAAATATGTAAGCCAAAAAATAATAATAAATCAATTGAATAAACAAATAAAAAGCTTACACAACCAAAAGACGCTCCCTGAATTCCATGCTGTCTAGATATATATTTAAATATATATAACAACAATACTTTATTGAATTTTCATAACCAACAGCAAACTTAACCAATGTTTAACCTTTAACAATGGATTTGCAAACTTAGACCAATTAAGTCTAAAACAGTATTTAAATTATCATTGAAAATAATATAACCACTTTTTTAACCACTACATTAGGCATAAATTTAGAAAGAAAAAGTGTAATAACATTCAGAAAAGCACTAATTTGTGAAATAAAAGTTTACTAGTAATTTTTCTCAAATATTTTTCAAGAATTATAACTTGTGAATGGTATTACCCATCACAGTGGAAATCAAACTTGAGTTGACACACGAAGTGGTTGTAATGTGGTTATATCGTAAGCTTGTTAAATAAATAAATTACAAATTTCAAAACAATTTATTTAAGTTATGACTAGTATTTTTTTCTGTCTATGAAGAAATAACATCAAAAATGTGGTGCACACTGAATAACCTGCATAGTGGGTTATTTAAAAGTGTGCACCACATTTTTTAGGTTATTTCTAATAGATAGAAAAGACATTACAGTCATTCCTTATAACTAATTCTAAATTCCATTTTTAAGGAGAAAATCATGAAAAAATGATGATGACATCATGGTCACATGACAAAATTATGTCTATGAGCTGATAGACAATAATCTTTCAGCCAATTAGAAGATGTGTTACATCCAAATCTAAATTATTAACAAGTCAAAATAAATTATTAAAGATATTGCTGTTATTTTCTTTCTGATAAAACTTTACTTTTTAAATTTAAATTAGATAGCTGCAGTGTTTCTTCAAACTCAATGACTCAAATAAAATTGAGAATGGAAACTGGGAATGTATCAAAGAGACAACCCCCCAACCAAAGAGCAGAAAACAGCAAAGGCCACAAATGGGTCTTCGAGAAAATCCTGCACCCGAAAATGTGTACTAGTTCAGAGAAAATGGACATCACACTAAACTCTGAAACATATATACTCAAAACATATATACTGCTTTAACTAACTGAGAGTATATGTGGTTATTTAACAAGATACCCAATTTATTAGCATGATCAAAATATCAAAGTGTTAACAATACTGATATGACACAATACAATCTCAACTTACATTTACATTTATTTAACAAGGCACTTAGTCCTTTTAATACTGTTCACATTTTGTTTCCTGTTCAAATGTTGGTAGTCAAGGTGTTCAATAAGAATTTTAATATGGACTTGCAATTTGTGGTTTGCCTCGTCCAAAAAATCATAAAAATTTATCTTAAAAAAAATAAAGAATTTGTGTACAGTAACTGGAAATATTAAAATACTTGGTTAAGATTTTTTTTTGTCATATTAAAATATCAAAACTTACCTCCTCTTTTGAATGACATAAGAAAAGGAAATATTTCTATAAAAATTCTTTCAAAGTATTAGCTTTGGTAGTATAACCATTTCATCTTAAACTAATCATGATTTACTAAAATTAGTTTAGTTTGTCAAACTATTCTGTATTTTTGCAAATATAAATGTAATCTTTAATTCTCTTTATAAAATAAAATGTTTTAAAAATCCCTGGTTTTTTGTAATTGACATTAAATTTATATGTATAAAATGCAACATTTTAAAAAGAATTAATAAAATTCAAATTGATAATGTAACAAAGAAACTATACATAACTGAGTTGCTGGAAACTATAACATTTCCATAACAAGAAGAAATTCTTCTAACATGATCTGAAGGTTACACAAAGGTTATAGAAAACTGAAAGCTTTTGGCACTAACATAATTAACAAAAATAAAATTTACATATAATTAACATTTAATCACAGGGTTGATGCCATTGAAAAGTCACCTAAAATATGTTCTCTAAATGATACATAGATTTGTACACTGATTGAACATTTAAAATAATTCGCTGTATCATTCAGCATAACGTCCATGTAACTTTTCTTAAAATGCTCTCTGTTGCAATAAATATAAAATATATACATTGCTTTTTTGTGGAATACAATTTAGATTATGGTAGATCAAAATCATGCAAAATATACCGTATTCATATGGCAGTCATCAGCTCTACGAAACGAAACCTAATAAGAATAAACTACACTAGATGAGCTGCATAATCAGAGTTATTTATACCATGACCTTCACTACCAAAAAGGTCTTACACGAAACACTGAATATCACTGGTATAAGCAGTGTCCCATTGTTGACAGCTATATGGTGATCCATTGAATTTCTTGTTTTTCTCCTGCTGGATTTATATATTTAAGCAGCTAAATCTTGTTGATGATCCATTTTCACCTCCCAAATATTCAGATATATAGCATTCTGGATGTAGGTCTATTTTTATAAGTCTACAATTTTTTTCTTCAGCAAAAATTACTTAAATTTTGACACCCTAATCAACAAAATTCTTCATTCAGTGTTTGGAATTGTATACCTAAAATATATATCTATTATCATGTCTGAAAGAGAGTTCCATGTTTCATTTTATATCTAAGTTATTATGAAATTCATCTATGATCTTGAACAAATATTTCTTACAAAATAGAAGTTGTTCAAGCTTTGCATATGATTTCATCTTATAAAGAATACTTGGGCATATTGCAATTGTGCTAATTTTTTTTAAAATGCAGGATTTCAATTGCGCCAAAAATAATTAATGCTTTTGTGCCCAAATTAAAGGTAAAACAAACTAAAACCTTTTATATAAGTTGTACCCTGAATATGAGGATTGAATAAGACACCTCTCCCCATAAATATAAACAAAAAAATAAAGGTGCCAGTATTTGGAATGACTTAAACAATGGCACCATATAAATGACAAATCACAGTTAGTTACACATTATAAATGCATTGTCAGTAATCATGTATATAATACTATGTACAACTAAAATGAATACTGTTATTTAGATTCTTTTTCACACAAAATTCTCTATCATCCTTCACAATAAATAGGTTATACATTTAACTAACAATTTCAAACACTTGGTTTTCTAAAAAGAATGTTGTCACACATGATCACAGAAACATGTAAAAAAAATCTACTCAAGAAGATGTTCTTAAAGAAATATTTGATTTTTTATGCAAACAGAATATATCATTTTCCACTGCTTTAATCCTGAAAATCTGAACAAGGGATACAAAAGTGTAAAGATTAGAGGTTCAGGAATGGTCTATGTTATGCAAGAACCATTCTCATAATAAATTTGTAATCTAAGAACCTATCAAATATATTTCACTTATTTGAACAAGCCTCAATAAAACCAACATGAACATGTTTATTACATGCCTGCATTGACTTTACATTAAACACTGAAGACCTGCACATTTGAAAAATCTAATATAAAGCTTAAAACTCTGTTCACATGTTCATATCTCTCACTTCCAGAAAGGTCCATCCATATTTTCTCCATGAAATCCTAAAACAGCATCGAGATAAAACAAGAAGCTTTATAAAATTTTACTAAAATTAAGAATGGAAATGGGGAATGTGTCACAGAGACAACAACCTCACCAAAAAGCAAAAAACAGCCGAAGGCAGCACAATGGGTCTTCAACACAGCGAGAAAATCCCGCACCAGGAGGCGGGCTTCACTGGCTACTGTTTGTTTGCATATCATCATCTATACAGTGAATTCTGTATATATTATCAGTATGCCTTTAAAAATATGAGAAGTAAATAGAATGCATACCTTTGGTAATAGGCAAAATTAATAATACGAAAAAATGCAATTCAAATTTTCTTTCAGAACATCTTCATTACCAATCAAGAACATTTGAAAAAACATACATGAAAACTAAAAATCACATATATGGTTCTGATGTTTATATATATAAATAAGTATGAACAAGTCCATTTCTTATAGTTAAGAAGATAACCATATACCCTGTCATTAGTTTGTATAATGAAAGATTGAATTTTCAATGCTGCATGAATAATTGATGTCGCACCAACTCATTTTTATTCTATAATTTCCCATATATAAACTATCATTTGGTTTTCTGTACGTCAAGTTAATAACAAGTTGGTTGCTGAATCAACTAAATCTGTGAATACATGAAGAACTGTAAGAGATGTTACATTAAGTTAGCTCCGGACATTTGATGAGAATAACTGGCAGATGCTTGAGCAATTTCTGTCAACAAAATGACTAGCCTTACAGATATTTACATTCTGTAATTACTTAATTTGTACACATTTAAAAGAGCTACTGTATATTGACTGAGAAATTCTGCAAACAACTTAGGTGCTTTAAGAACCATGTTTCACAAGATATAGCACTGAATATAGAAGATTTCTTGATAAAAAATACTACATTCTATTAAAATGATGCAGCTTAATAATTGTAAAACATGGCTGCCACAAAACAATGAATATCTAAATATGGCTTCACATCTGCACATTCAAACAATATCTCAGTCATCAACAGAACTGTATATAGAATTGTCATGGTTACAATAGTCTGCTAAAATCCTGCCCCTCGTCGATCTAATGAAGGGAGATAAGTGTTTGTACTCAATATATTCTTTGTTGCTTTACTATTTGCCTGTAAAAATAAATGTTTTTTTCATTAGTACATATTTCACTGTGTGCTTTCATATTTTGTATGTTTGTTTAACTTTAATTTTGATAATTTTTACTGGAAAAACTATTAATTACATGAAATAAACTAAGTAAGTTAAGTTTTATATCAGAATGTTTTTTTAATATTTTGGTTAAAGACACAGAAAATTTAAGAATCAATGATGTCTTTACTGCAACATGTTTCTATTCCTAGCAAGAGATCAATGGTACTTTTTCGTGTAAATATTGTTTTAATGACTATTTAATCAATTTCTTCATTTCCATCACACATGTATATCATTTTTGTGTATCTGTTCATCAACTTTCAATGCATCTTTCCTGCTATATTTTTATTTTATTTTGAAAAAAATCTGTCTGTTTTATTCTTTTGTTGTTAATTTTTTTTTTATCAATATTGATTGTAATTTTGAAGGGGGAAAATATGCAAAGAATACATAAAATTGTTATATCATGGCTGTCAAAATATGATGCAACACAAATATAATTGAATAGTACTCACTTTATGTGGTTTATAAGTACTATTTATACTTGGTAGTAAAGACATAGTTCCAGAATTATGTAATGCACTATAAGATCCTGAGAAAGCAGCAGCATGAAATGAAGGGTTTATTGAACCTGTATGCATTGGAACTTTCGGAAGATTAAGTCCTGTGTGATTTGTAAATTGATGGCTTTCTATTAACTTTTTATTTCGTCTCTGAAATAGAAAGAATAGCAAATCCTTAGCATCATATTTAAATGTTACATTCAGGCATACTAAAATAAACAACTCTATATATAATTCCAATATATTTAGTTAAACACTGAATTATCTCCCTTTTCACACAATTTATCCAAATTATATACTAAGTCATGAATCAGATTTCATGTTTTACATTTTTTATTACTAATCAATATCCAATTTATAATGCAAACAGACTTTTCATACAAACTTTAATTCAAACTATTTCACTAATAAACTTTTTTTTATCATTCTTAAAATAGAAAATAGGAGATACCATCTATTCTTTGAAGGATTTACTAATAATATTTTCATAAAATTTATACACCATACAACAATATAATCCAGACTTACAGGTACTCGTTTTCTATCTTTAAATAAATGAGGATGACTGGGTAAGGATTGAGCTTTAGGTAGACTAGGTACTATTGTACTACTGCTGGCATCAGAATCAGATTTCTTCTTTTCTGATCGTGATGTTTCCATATCAGGTGAAGTGGTTATATCTGTTGGAGGAACTGGTTTAGTTAAATCTAAGGTTTTCTTTTCCTTTTCTTCATGCTGTTGTTGCTGTTGCTGTTTTGCTTTGGCCATCATGGCTGCCCTCTTATCAGCATCCCTATTAAAATACAATAAAACATTGCTGATCTTTTCATATGGAGATTACAATCCAGCATTTTGATAGAAGCAAAACTAAAAACACTACTACCAAGAAACCTGAACAATTGTAGAAAAGAGTTCTTTCTTTACCTTTTGACATCTAATCAAACAAGATTTCAGTTTTTGTAAAAGTCTATTTGAAATAAATTTCAACTACTGATTTTGCAAGTTTCGACCTTAATTCTTGAATCTTTTTCAATTTAAAACTAAATGGGCTATAGGTTGTCTGACATACCACAGAAAGATGTATATTATCAGTCCAGTATTAATATTACATGTATCCCCTTTTGTCATTGAAATAGAAATCATTTGCAATTAGTTACAAAGCCATACATTTTTATCTGGTGTGTATTCAAAGTAAATCAAAGCACGAAAGTGCTGTAAAGGCAGTTAATTACAGGTTGTGAGTATTTTAAGTCCAGTTATATCATTATCTTGCATAGTACAGTGTACTTATCAGAGGTGGCTTTCAGTATTTAAGATTTAGAGTTCTCTAATGATATTGAATAAGTTTTATGAATGTCATATTCTGAGCACTATATGAAGGCGATTGTTCTCACTTGTTTATGAACTAGTGCATTATGTCCAGTTTGTACCTTTTTTATCTATGTTTATAGTCAAATTAGTTGTCAAAGGTACCAGGATTATAATTTAATACGCCAGACGTGTGTTTCGTCTACATAAGACTCATCAGTGACGTTCAGATCAAAATAGTAACAAAGCCAAAAAAGTACAAAGTTGAAGTCTTAGAGCACTGAGGACCCAATATTCCAAAAAGTTGTACCAAATACGGCTAAGGTAATCTATTCCTTGGATAAGAAAATCCTTAGTTTTTTTATTGGCAATCATAACACATCTCCTTATTTATATAATGATCTATATTCAACGACCTCAGGTACAAAAAAAATGTATGTAACTAAACTATGATGGGAAACCTTTGACTTCTTTCTTTATATAAACTTTTGATTTGGTACCATAGAACTATGTAGAGTAAATGTACATTGCAACATGTCAACTCATTCAACTCCAAGCAAAATTATATTTCCAAGCATAAAGTAATTTATGAATGAAATAAAATGCTCCGCTGGGGCGCAGCTTGATACGACCGCAGAGGTCGAACCCTGAACAGTTGGGGCAAGTATGAACACAACATTCAAGCTTGATTCAGCACTGAATTTGGATTGTAATTAAATATTTGACACAGCATAGGTTTCTTGTTTTTTGCCCCTTTTTGGCCCCTAATTCCTAAAATTTGGAGACAATTACCCCCAAAATCAATCCCAGCATTCCCTTTGTGGTATGGTACCTTGCAGTACAATTTCAGAGAGATCCATACACTTGAACACAAGTTATTGTCTGGAAACTAGAAAAATGCTTATTTTTGGCCCCTTATTCCTAAACTTTTTGGGCAATTACCCCCAAACTCAATTCCAGCTTTCCCTTTGTGATATGGAACCTTGTAGTACAATTTCATGAAGATCCATACACTTACACACAAGTTATTGCCATGAAACTAGAAAAATGCTTGTTTTTTGCCCCTTTTTGGCCCCCAATTCCTAAAATTTGGAGGCAATTACCCCCAAATTCAATCCCAGCATTCCCTTTGTGATATGGAACCTTGTGATACAATGTCAGAGAGATCCATAGACTTGCACACAAGTTATTGTCATGAAACTAGAAAATGCTTGTTTTTTGCCCCTTTTTGGCCCCTAATTCCTAAAATTTGGAGGCAATTACCCCCAAAAATCAATCCCAGCATTCCCTTTGTGATATGGAACCTTGTGGTACAATGTCAGAGAGATCCATACACTTACACACAAGTTATGTCTGGAAGTTACAAAAATGCTTATTTTTGGCCCCTTTTTGGCCCCTAATTCCTTAACTGTTGGTACCATAACCCCCAAAATCAATCCCCACTTTCCTTTTGTGGTATTGAACCTTATTTTAAAATTTCATTGAGATCCATTCACTTAAACTAAAGTTAGAGTGCGAAAACTAATGTGTCTTCGGACGACGACGCCAACGTCATACCAATATACGACCACAAAAATTTTTTTGCAGTCGTATAAAAAGGAGTTCTTAATTAAGAAATAAACTGATTCGCTGAGCGCAGCTGGATACACCCGCAGAGGTCCAACCCTGAACAGCTGGGGCAAAAATGGACACAATATTCAAGCTTGATACAGGTCTGAATTTGGATTGTAATTAAATATTTGACATATTATAGTTTCTGAATAAATGTAGTCAATGAACTTGAAATTGGTTATATGAATTGAATTTATATTCAATTAAAGATTTCTTGCTGTTGTGCAATACACTGTGCTGTTAGGCCGTTAGTTTTCTTGTTTGAATTGTTTTACATTGTCATTTCTGGGCCTTTTATAGCTGACTGTGCGGTATGGGCTTTGCTCATTGTTGAAGGCCGTACTGTGACCTATAGCTGTTAATTTCTGTGTCATTTGGTCTCTTGTGCATGTGTGGAGAGTTGTCTCATTGGCAATCATACCACATCTTCTTTTTTATATTTACATCAACAGATATAAAAAATTCACCAAAGTCAAGGTGAGACAACAAAACTTAGTTGTAAGATCTCTGAAATTTTTTACAGGGTACGAGTTTTTCTCATTGTTGGAGATTGTACGGTGACAGTAACACCTGTAACTGCTTAAACCCATTTCTTATGCACTTTAGTTTGATAAACTCACTGAATATCATACCACATCTCCTTATTTTTATATGATTACAATTTACATGTGCATGTAATTGTAAATATATATATATCAGAACAAAATTCATTGCGTCACTTTTATTTATGCATCCTTTGGCACAATACAAGTTCTAAAATTACACAACATAAAACAACTAAATATTATTTCAGATGAAAGTTTTGTTTCAGTTCCATTCATAGGATTTATTAGAATTTTGTATGTTTTGCCAAGTCCAATGATTCGCTCTATGTGACATAGAGACATAGTTGACTAAACCACCAGGTGTCGAACATTCAAGAATTTTCAGTGTTTCTGTTTTTATTTGATGAAAAGGTTGCCTGAGCTCTAGGAGCTTTAGGTTTTATCACGGGATATTCTGTGCTGTCAATAATAATCCAAGTCGTAGGAAACTTTAATTTGAAGTTGGATGGTGAAAAATACCTGACTAAACCACTAGATGGCCAAGTGTTAGCCTCACACCACTGTTTAGACATAAAAACAATCCATGTATACACAATATTCTTAACACTAGATTCAATCTGGAATCTAGACAGTTCAAAGTTGGTTGTATGATGCCTCAATTTCATCAAAGTCATAAAAAAACTGATTTTCAACTGACACCCTATCAATTTGAAAATATATGTATCTCAAACAATGTGCTGCTGGACCAACTGTCCAAGTGTGGTCAAAACAAATAAAAATTTAGTATACAACTCTTAACCGGTATAAAAATGCATGGCTGTGTCACGTGTCTTCATTTCAAAATTCTCTGCTGAAAACATAGGCATTGATGGTGTTTGCGTAATTCCATCTGTGAAGCTCAACATTAGCTCGGCAGTTGGTGGTGGACAGTCATAAATCCTTTCTGCAGTATGAATGACTTCTTCAGGAAAACCAACTTTACAATCAAAACTTTCCTCTAGATTTCTACTACAATATTCATCAAGTTTAGTTCTTTTGTTTTCACAGGAAACTGCCCTAATTTTTCTTTTTGCGGACGATTCAGTCTCTTGCTTGGTCCAGGAAAATAGGCTGGGAATTGCAGTAGACTTAAGTCTCTGTATGGTGGGTTTGCGCCCTGAAAAAGGTTATAAAACATTAGTTTTTTTTATAATTAAATGAACTTCCATTAGCAATGTATACTTTGTACTACCTGGCGAAATATTAACTAGATTTATTCATTACAATCTGGATAAAACTATGTTTGCCTGATTCAATGTATGTTATGTAAATCCAAAGGACAAACAATGAGAGACTTATGCAACAAACGTACATTGTTTGTACCTAAATAACTATAATATAGATGAGAGCATGTCATTGTTTTGTTCCTGTTAACATTGTCATTGATATTTTTCAAGAAAGTCTATGAGGCATAGCTTATGCATTCCTGTCATTACTACATTAGCATAATTACTGCTAAAATAATTCTCAGTATGATATACCTCTTGTAAGAAATCATTATAATTGTAGCAATCACCAAAAAATCTCAAACAGATCACATTGAATCGTAATCCAAAAAATTATGACGTCTTGAATTACCCACCCCCTTTTATTCTAAAACGATAATTGCGGTTGTAAACAGACTTTGGTTTATTCGCATGGCGATTACATATATAACTATATATTTCACAAAGAAAATAGAGTTTTACCATGAATAGTTTCCTGCACGTAGTCTTTTTCAGTAAAACGTGCCTTGCAAACAACAGCTGATTGAGATGGACTCCACGATATCATCGTGTTCTCGTCCAATCTGCGTATGGGCCATGGCGTTGATCCAACTTTTCCTTCTTTTTAAGTCATTTGGAAATGCATGTCCTCCTCTTAAATGACATCCAGGTACACAACAACAAGTACTTGGCATCGTTAATTAAAAATATAACTGAAATAGTTGCACAGTGCAGAAACCGGAAGAAGAGGAACAGGATCCGCTACCACGGCGCCACCTATTCAGGAACGATAATTTGCTACTTTATATAACTGCGAAATTAACGTCAGACGGGTTCACGTGCATAAACAGAAATGCGCTTTAAATTGTATAATATAATTCATGTTCAGTCGACCTTTAATTATAATATCAACGACTGAAATGATTTATAAACATCTAGATTGCAGATAACACTCGAAATTAACCCGAGCTCTTTCCACACGGAATTCAAATAATTCTAGTTTGTCAATCGGTTGACTGCTTATAATGCAAAATACTAATATATCAAAAGTTTTTAAAACTAACAAAACACAATGATTGTTTCTCTATTTCCCAATGTAAATGAAATGAAACAAAAAACATTTTATATCGCAATAAGAAGAGGAGAGAATTCAACATTTCCGGATCTACTTGGAGTCTAATGACCCCCCACGTAGATAAGTTGGATATCGCGGAAGGAAGGATTAACCCGGCAACTAGAAAGGCATTAAAGCACTGCCTTTAAAAATTGATATCCTTCATCACAAGAATTTAAAATGAAAGAAGAATGTGTCTGAGGACATGAATGCCCCCCTCAAGCTTTGCAATTTTCCAAGTTTAAAAGGGGCTTAACTCTAGAACATTAAAAGACTCACTGCCCAAATTCAAACTCTGAGTGTTGCAGTTCTTAGCATTGTGTATGAGTTTCATAAAATTTTGATGAGAGAAACATAAAAATTTGCAATTCTCCAAATTATTCAGGGGCATAACTCACTAACGATAAGTGAATCACTGCCTATTTTCCAACTCTGTCTGCGTGTTATGATTCTTAGCATTGTGTATGAATTTCATAAAGTTAGGATGAGACAAACTCAAAAAGTTTAGAGTGCAGAAACGAAAATTTTTGCAATTTTCCTAGTTATAAAGGGCATAACTCTAGAACGGTAAGTGACTCACTGTCTTAATTTCAAACTCTGTCTGCAACTTTTGATTCTTAGCATTGTGTAATTTGGATGAGGAAAACTTAAGAGTGTGGAAATGAAAATGGGACGGACGGGAGTATGGTCAAGGGTAACACTAAATGCCCTTGGCGGGGTAGTGTTGGATAATCGGTTGAAATTACCAACCGATTATCTATTACTATCCGTGACAGCAACCAACCGACTTTCGGTTATAATCGCATCATTATACTTTGCCCTTTATTAAATGAAATCATGCATTTAGTCACACTGTGCATGTCAAATGCGTATATTCCATATCATTGCAGAGTTTTATATGTTCATATTTGATATTTTGTTTCCTTTTCATATTTTATTTAGCAATTAAAACAGTGAATCAATTAGAATCCAGATTCAGATTGAACATATTTTGTCTTATAATTACAACATTTATTACCAACAATGACACTAAAATATCTAAATTTCAGTGGTATTACTCACATTATAATTTCAAATACATAGCTGTATAAAAATTTGAATGCTTCTCATTAAAAAAAGATATATAAAGTATTTAACTTGAAGCAATTTAAAATTAATCAAAAATTTAACAATGCATTTGCATTTAAATATATACATTTAACTAAGGGGATCCAACCAATGTCTGTTTATTCGTGTAGAATGCTTATTTTTCACTTTTGTGATCATTATTCTTCTGTCAGCTGTGTCATTAGTGCGTCTGTACTTATAATTGCAAGAATGCGGAATTCTTACATAGTTGATCCGTATCCGATCCGTGATTCATATATATTTCAATGGTGGACAAACTGGGAAAAGTCACAAAAATAAACGATGATTGACAAGCAATTTGGAAAGGAATATGAAGTTTTTGACCCAACAAATGGAAGACACATTAATAAAAGGCAATTTGTACCACGTTCTAATGTAGCAAAAAATTCATTTCATCTAAAATCAGAATGATTTCATGTACACTCTAGAGTAACAAGTGCCGGAATTGAAAGAAAGTATTTCATAAAAAGTTATTTATTTTAAATAACATATGATCAATCTGTATAGTCAATGTTTTTATCACGTTTTTAAAGAAAGAAATTGGTTATGGCTTTGATGATAGGATGTTTGACATTGTTATTGTCATCGACTGATATTTTTCGTTACAATTTGTTTGACTGCCCTTGTAAAATGCAAATGGGAAACGGACCGGAAGTTGATATGCTTAAAGTCCAGAAACTATAATGACAACCGACTGAACAAAATCCCAATCGATTATCAACCTTGCAAAGGCCCAACCAACTGATTTCCGACTTATTCCGATCATCAGAACAACACTACGGTGGGGGTATGAAAATATTGAATAAATGATCCCAGACTATCTCACAAGTTTAAGACTCTAATTTAATCATGTTTGATCAAAGTAGCATTGTTTTTCAGTAGGGAGCTGAAAATGAATGTCTGAATCAGTATCAAATTTGAGAGTTATCAAAATATCCTGCAATTTTCATTTAATGATGGTAAAATGTAATGTATAATTTTCACTATAGTAGTGTACTTACCTGAGATCTTTGAAATACTGATGTCTCAAAGCTTGTTTTGCTGACATTCTATCATCTGGGTCATATGTACACATTTGATATATTAATTCTACAGCATCAGTGCTTACATGTGGCAGTAATCTTTCTATACCACTACCTTTCTTGGATGGAAAATTAAAGTTCATTCCTCGTGACCTGCGATATAACAGTTAGGTTTATGACAGTCTCCTTCTGAATGAAGTGTTTTTACTTAAAGTATTGAAAATAGTGTTATCATGTTATAAATGTTGGTATTAAGCTATACTACTATTACAGTCAAATTGTATATAACTGTATAAACAATGTGTGATATAGTTAATAGTCACATAAAACCTTGTTTGTGATGTGGATATGTTTCAGTAGATTTTTTTCCCTTCAAATGCAAACGTTAACAATTTCCTTCAATATATTTTATTTTGAATAGTTTAACTGAAAATTCTCAAATTATTGCTAAATCAGACTGCTACTACTTACTTTTTTAATTTATTGAGTACCGAAGGATCTGGTGTCCCTAAAATGTCATGGATTTTAGCTATTTGGTCTACTTCATTAGAACCAGGAAACAGAGGATGCAAGCTAAAATATAAAAGTTATCTCCCTTTGAACAAATTGGTACACGCATCACATATTGTATTACAATTTCAACTTTAAAGTTCCTGCAGACACATTGTAGAACCTGCCTTTTGGACTTATTGTAATTTTTTTTATGTTGAAAAAAGCATGAAATGTTTGCCACTGAACATAAGAGAACAACAATCAATCAATCAATCACCCATTTAAAAGAATCTGTAATAATATTTCTATAAACAAATTATCTATTTAGATAAGACTTACAGTCTGTATCAACACAGACAAAAAGGTTGTATATCTTATAAACTTCAAGAGTAGAGGAATGTTTAAGTTGTAATAAGTTCAAGTGTATGTAACTGGCATGATATTTACCAGAAAAAGTTATTGAGATTGAAAATTAACAAACATAAATGATTGGGTATAAAACATATTCCAGCACCAAGTATATAGTAAAACATTATGTGCCTTCAATGACCCCCCTGCCCCTAAATACCTTTTTCAGGAGAAAAAAACTTGGTATATTGAGTAGTTTACCTGAGAATTTCAAAGAAGACACAACCAACACTCCACATATCCATTTTATATGTATAGTAACCATCAGTCAATAAACATTCAGGTGCTCTATACCTGTAATATAAATATAAATTACATGCAACTCAATAGTATCAGATTTCTCCTCTTTCATCCAGTCTTATTCAACAAGGACAGAAACTCTTTAAAATTAATCCGAACAGACAGAACTGTGAAATAAACAATTTTCCATTGGCTGTCTTTCCAATATGCAGTTAGTAGGACAAATGCAAGGGTTTAAAATTTCCATTTTTCCTCCTGAACCCTTGTGAAAAGTCATATGAAGACATATAATTATATAAATTTATCATATCCCCCCTCTCCCCTAAAAAAATTAAAAATTCTATGGATATCAGGTATGAAATATTAAATTTTATATATAATCTCATGCACTTCTCCAATTAAAAATTAATGAAATTGGTTAATGTTTCACAGGATTTGTAAGTAAATGTATTTTTTCCATATCAAACAAAATATTTCATAGTTAAACACTAATTCTTAAAATGACAAATTTCTACAAATATAAAAATAACAATGTCTATCATTTGCTAAGCTATCCCAAAAAAAAATTAGATATACAAATAAAATTTGGATGTGCACATTTACATATGGTAAGAAGAAATGCTGTCTAGTTTCTATTCCAATGTACATTAATGAACTTTTGGGACAAACATGCAACATACACACATATAATGTGGTTGAGACAGTATTCAAATATTAATACAATTCTATTGCAAAAAATTGTGTTCATTCTGATTTGTATAACATCCAAAATTGAATAAATGTTTTATCGCTATTTTTCTCAAATTTTTCTTTGATGTTTTTTCATGATAATTTTTCATATCACCATACTCCAGTGATATTGCATTTTCTCAGTCAAGTAGAAAGAGAATGTATGACATTATAATAAAATTGAGAATGGAAATGGGGAATGTGTCAAAGAGACAAGAACCCAACCGAAGAGCAGAAAACAGCCGAAGGCCACCAATGGCTCTTCAACACAGCAAGAAAATCCTGCACCCAGAGGCGGGTTACAGCTGGCCCCTCAACAAAAATGTGCACTAGTTCAGTGAAAATGGACGCCATACTAAGCTCCAAAACATATAAATGAACTAAAATTAAAAAACATACAAGACTAACAAAAGCCAGAGGCTCCTGACTTGGGACAGGCGCAAAAATTTGGCAGGGTTAAACAAGTTTGTAAGATCTCAAACCTCCCCCTATACCTCTAGCCAATGTAGAATAAACAAACACACAGCAATACTAGTGTTTCCTGCAGCTTTTGAAAAGGGCAGGGTAATTTTTTTCTCCGAGGGCACTCTTAGCGCGATTGCCTACACTTGAAGGGCACCCTTTGCGCGGAGGACTACACATTTAGGGTACTCTTTACATAGATATGAAGGCACTGTAATGGATAGGGAATTAATCGAATATACCATATGTTTCATATTTGTTGGTAAGAAATAAAGATATGTATATTAGGTTGTTAATCTAATTCCTTTTTGTAATAAAATTATCACTTCTAGACTCAGCTAATAGAATCTTGATCATGTTCATTGTGCAACTGCCTCTTTTCAATCAATAACTCCAATTATAAACTTACACAGTGACTGATTTGTCTAAGGATGTGTTTTGAAAATGGACTTTGTATATCCAAGAGCATATGCAATGCATTGCTTTTTAGAAATACCTTTTGGATCTTGCATATTTATACCAATCAAAGCTACCTTGACTCATAACTGTACAAACAGTTTTAGGATTTTCAAAGATTTGTATAGCAAGACTTACTATACATATTCTTCTGTTTTTCATCTGCGTTTTTTTGTGATTTTTTTTTTATTGAAACGTTATTGAAACATTGTTGATTTTTCATACTATTCAAAACTATATCAGCTACATTCTTAACTTTAATTTATTAAGATAACAACAGTATGAAAGCCGTGGTAAATTCACACCCAATCTGATGCATCAACCACCGAATAGTATAAAAAGAAAATATAAACAAACATCCTATTTTTTACGTAATCAGTGGTAATGATAAATTCAGCAATTTTCCATTTGTAAAGGGGCATAACTCTAGAACGGTAAAAGTGACGCCACCGAAATTCAAACTTTATCTGTGTTTTGTGGTAATAAGCATTGTGTATAAGTTTCATAACATTTGTTTGAGGCAAACTAAAGTTAGAGAACGGAAACCAATTTTGGGACGTACGTATGTAGACAAGGGTAAAACTTAATGCCCCCTCCGCTACTGCGGGGGCATAAAAAATTACAAAATTCAATAAAATGTTTATTTTTTTTCCTAAAAAGGGCAGGGCGTCAAGAAAACATGGCAGGGCGCCATACCATGCCAAAACCTCCTGCAGGAAATACTAAATACGCACAGTAAAACTCAGTTTAAAAGAAGTCCAAGTCCGATGTCAGAATAAGTAACAAAAGAAACTAAGAAAAATAACAATGATACATAAATCAACAAAGGACTACTAGCAGTTACTGACATGCCAGTTCCAGACCTCAATTAAACTGGTTGAAAGATTATGTCTTCATCATATGAAAATCAAGCACAATCCCTCCTGTTAGGGGTTTAGTATCATACCATCATAAAATATATGAGAAGAATATAACCTGTATCATGCCAACAACTGGTTTTAGAATAAATGTGTTTATTTCCGATGCAAAAACCCTATAAGTGAATCAATATTAATACCAAAATATGCCATCTTTAATGACCTGACAACAGTATCGTAAGCCTACATCATAAAAATGCCTAGGAAAATAGTGATAAACAGAATGTCAATGGTCTTTCAATCTCAAGGATGTTTCTTGGCAACATGTCATCAAAGGGCAACAGATTGTATTAGAGATACCTCTTGTTTGAAGAACCAACAATTATCTATAAATCAACTGAAATTTTTCTTTAGATAACATTCCAAAAAACATTCAGAGATGTTTCAATGGATCAAATCAGGTATATTGTACAGACTGTGACAGTTAAAAGTAGATACTTGTAGGAACAAACATGATTCTTTCATCCGATCCTGTAAGGTTTAACTCCTATTTATTGAAATTTCTAAGAAAGGGTAGATGAAAGGTTGAGGTGAATTGTTCTATAATCATTTATCAGTTATGTATTATGACTAGTGTTTATGACTAGTGTTAATTTATCAGTTATTGTATTTGCATATATATTTTACATGTCATTGTATTGATGAGCATTATTTACTTAAAGTATTAAAGAATTGAATTAAATTATTATTGTTTTAGTAAGTGTGTTTCAAATCAATAACACCTTTTCTTTTAATTTGAGTTTATAAACTTACAATGTGATATGAATATTCATACAAATTCTAGGATAAAATTTTAATCTGTTAACCCAGATCTTAGAGTAACTTATTAAAAAGAAACTCATCAACATAAGCAGAACTTTAGTTTAGTGATTTTAAAACAGTCACTTAAATGCATTACAGGGAAATCCCAAACAACTAGGTCGACATATGACAGACGAAAACTTCATAACATTCAAAGAATCAAGCATCTCTGAATGTTTTTTTCCAACTATTTAGTCCTTTGTTGTCTGAGATTTTCCTGTATTTATATGTCATCACTTATTGTGATGTTGGATAAAAGTTAGAACATACAGGATTTTAGGTACAGGTAAGTTAATGCTCATTCAATGAACTTTAATACCAATAAAGAAAAGTACATTTATTTTGTAAAGTTTGCATAATTTTGGCTTAATTAAATATTTAAATGGTATCTATAATCTGCAGATTAGCATAGGTTATGACATCTTTATTGAGAACACTAACCATCTGGTAGATATATATTCTGTATAGGGTTGTTTTGAGTATACACTTCTACAAGAACCAAAATCTGCTAACTTTAAGAGGTCTTCCTGAAAAAAAAAGAGATAACTATTAGCACTGTTTGAATTAAGTAGACTAAAGGTGTTTTTTGAAAAAATATAAATATACTGAATAAACATAAAGAGATTAATATACGATTTAACAAGAGCTTAACCTCCTTATAAGATCTGTAAAAAATCAATATACCTATATGTAATGATTAATCCTTGAAGAATAAGTATATATACATAAGGTGGGAGTCAAAACTCTGGTTACCATGTCATAACATAAACATTTTATATTGTATGATTCACCCATGCATTAATATGATCAGAAGACAAAAATGAAAATAATAAAACATATAACTTAGATGTTGTTTACAAATAAAAAGTTGTTTAATAACTGAATGAATCTTTTAAATCAAGCTGGTATTATTTCAACAATATTCCAGATAAAAACTTGTTGATAATATATAAATATAAACATTGTTTTGTTCCAACACACTAGATAAAATTTAACAAGAGTGCACACGCTGAAATGTCTCGCCTACTATACTGACCATTGATTTTATATTGATAGTCCTAAATATAAAGTTTTACTGTATCACATTAACATTTATGATCCAAGAAAATGAGGTCAAGGTCAGATAATCCAAGCCGGAAATACATGTACACCTTTATTATAATCATTCCATACACCGAATATATATGACCTATTGCTTATAAAAGAAACAGACCAAACCATGGAAATGAGGTCAAGGTCAGATGAACCCTGCCAAGCAGACATGTACACCTTAAAGTCATTCAATGCATCAAATATAGTTGGCCTATTGCTTATAGTATCCAAGAAACAAACTTAACCAGGAAAACTGAACATTGACCAATGAACCATGAAAATAACCTGAAGGTCAGATGATACCTGCCAGACAGACATAAACACCTTACAATCATTACATACACCAAATATAGATGACCTATTGGTTAAAGTTTAAGAAAAACAGACCAAAACAAACAAAAATAAAATGCTTCGCTGGGCGCAGCTTGATACGACCGCAGAGGTCGAACCCTGAACAGTTGGGGCAAGTATGGGCACAACATTCAAGCTTGATACAGCTCTGAATTTGGATTGTGATTAAATATTTGACACAGCATAGGTTTCTGACACAGAAAGAATGTGGTCTAAGAACTTCAAATTTTTTAATTTACCTATTATGGTCTAATGTCCAAAATCAAAATACATGGTTAGATTCAGCATATCAAAGAACCCCATATATTCAATTTTTGTTGAAATCAAACAAAGTTTAATTTTGGACCCCAACTTGGACAAACTTGAAAACTGGTCCCATAATCAAAAATCTAAACACGTGTTTAGATTCAGCATATCAAAGTACCCCAAGAATTCAATTTTTGTTAAAATCAAACTAAGTTTAATTTTGGACCCTTTGGACCTTAATGTAGACCAATTTAAAAAACGGGACCCAAAATTAAAAATCTAAAAACACGGTTAGATTTGGCATATCAAAGAACCCCAATAATTCAATTTTTGATGAAATCAAACAAAGTTTAATTTTGGACCCTTTTGACCTCAATATGAACCAATTTGATAGCGGGCCCACAAAATAATAAATCTAAATACATGGTAAGATTCAGCATATCAAAGAACCCCATATATTCAATTTTTGTTGAAATCAAACAAAGTTTAATTTTGGACCCCAATTTGGACCAACTTGAAAACTGGGCCAAAAATCTAAAATCTAAATACATGTTTAGATTCAGCATATCAAAGAACCCCATATATTCAATTTTTGTTGAAATCAAACAAAGTTTAATTTTGGACCCCAACTTGGACCAACTTGAAAACTGGTCCCATAATCAAAAATCTAAACACATGTTTAGATTCAGCATATCAAAGAACCCCAAAAATTCAATTTTTGTTAAAATCAAACTAAGTTTAATTTTGGACCCTTTGGACCTTAATGTAGACCAATTTAAAAAACGGGACCCAAAATTAAAAATCTAAATACACGGTTAGATTTGGCATATCAAAGAACCCCAATAATTCAATTTTTGATGAAATCAAACAAAGTTTAATTTTGGACCCTATTGACCTCAATATGAACCAATTTGATAGCGGGCCCACAAATAAAAAATCTAAATACATGATAAGATTCAGCATATCAAAGAACCCCAATAATTCAATTTTTGATCAAATCAAACAAAGTTTAATTTTGGACCCCAATTTGGACCAACTTGAAAACTGGGCCAAAAATCTAAAATCTAAATACATGTTTAGATTCAGCATATCAAAGAACCCCATATATTCAATTTTTGTTGAAATCAAACAAAGTTTAATTTTGGACCCCAACTTGGACCAACTTGAAAACTGGGCCCATAATCAAAAATCTACACACATGTTTAGATTCAGCATATCAAAGAACCCCAAGAATTCAATTTTTGTTAAAATCAAACTAAGTTTAATTTTGGACCCTTTGGACCTTAATGTAGACCAATTTAAAAACGGGACCCAAAATTAAAAATCTAAATACACGGTTAGATTTGGCATATCAAAGAACCCCAATAATTCAATTTTTGATGAAATCAAACAAAGTTTAATTTTGGACCCTTTTGACCTCAATATGAACCAATTTGATAGCGGGCCCACAAAATAATAAATCTAAATACATGGTAAGATTCAGCATATCAAAGAACCCCATATATTCAATTTTTGTTGAAATCAAACAAAGTTTAATTTTGGACCCCAATTTGGACCAACTTGAAAACTGGGCCAAAAATCTAAAATCTAAATACATGTTTAGATTCAGCATATCAAAGAACCCCAAGAATTCAATTTTTGTTAAAATCAAACTAAGTTTAATTTTGGACCCTTTGGACCTTAATGTAGACCAATTTAAAAACGGGACCCAAAATTAAAAATCTAAATACACGGTTAGATTTGGCATATCAAAGAACTTTTTTGATGAAATCAAACAAAGTTTAATTTTGGACCCTTTTGAACTCAATATGAACCAATTTGATAGCGGGTCCACAAATAAAAAATCTAAATACATGGTTAGATTCAGCATATCAAAGAACCCCAAGAATTCAATTTTTGATGAAATCAAACAAAGTTTAATTTTGGACCCTTTTGACCTCAATGTGGACAAAGTTGATAACGGGGCCCAAAAATCAAAAATCTACATACATGGTTAGATTCAGCATATCAAAGAACCCCATATATTCAATTTTTGTTGAAATCAAACAAAGTTTAATTTTGGACCCTGATTTGGACCAACTTGAAAACTGGGCCCATAATCAAAAATCTAAATACATGTTTAGATTCAGCATATCAAAGAACCCTAAAAATTCAATTTTTGTTAAAATCAAACTAAGTTTAATTTTGGACCCTTTTGACCTTAATGTAGACCAATTTGAAAACGGAACCAAAAATTAAGAATCTAAATACACGGTTAGATTCGGCATATCAAAGAACCCCAATAATTCAATTTTTGATGAAATCAAACAAAGTTTAATTTTGGACCCTTTTGACCTCAATGTGGACAAACTTGATAACGGGGCCCAAAAATCAAAAATCTAAATACATGGTTAGATTCAGCATATCAAAGAACCCCATATATTCAATTTTTGTTGAAATCAAACAAAGTTTAATTTTGGACCCCGATTTGGACCAACTTGAAAACTGGGCCCATAATCAAAAATCTAAATACATGTTTAGATTCAGCATATCAAAGAACCCTAAAAATTCAATTTTTGTTAAAATCAAACTAAGTTTAATTTTGGACCCTTTTGACCTTAATGTAGACCAATTTGAAAACGGAACCAAAAATTAAGAATCTAAATACACGGTTAGATTCGGCATATCAAAGAACCCCAATAATTCAATTTTTGATGAAATCAAACAAAGTTAAATTTTGGACCCTTTGGACCTCAATGTGGACCAATTTAAAAACGGGGCCCAAAATCCAAAAACTTAATACTTGGTTAGATTCAGCATATTAAAGAACCCCAAGAATTCAAGAATAAAACCCCATTGAAATTGATCAAGAAATAAGCAATTTATACGAAGTATCTTCTTTTGCACAATACTGTGCAATTGAATATTTCTTGCTATTGTGCAATACTGTACAATTGACAATTTCTTGCTATTGCGCAATATTGTGCTATTGGATATTTCTTGCTATTGCGCAATACTGTGCAATTGAAGATTTCTTGCTATTGCGCAATACTGTGCAATTGAAGATTTCTTGCAATTGTGCAATACTGTGCAATTGAAAATTTCTTGCTATTGCACAATACTTATTATTTAATAATTTACACATCCTGTTTGGTGTGTATCTCCTACCATATCATTATTATTTGCTTTTAAATATTAATCAGAAATAACCAACTAAAAATGGAAAATTTTAAAAGAAAAAAAAAAAGGAAAAAAAGAAAAAAAAAGAAAAAAAAAAAATCCCCCCCCCCCAAATTTGAACCCCCTTATGATTCATCACCCCCAAACTCAATCCCAGCCTTCCCTTTGTGGTATGGTACCTTGCAGTACAATTTCAGAGAGATCCATACACTTGAACACAAGTTATTGTCTGGAAACTAGAAAAATGCTTATTTTTGGCCCCTTTTTGGCCCCCTATTCCTAAACGTTTTGGACAATTACCCACAAACTCAATTCCAGCTTTCCCTTTGTGATATGGAACCTTGTAGTACAATTTCAGAAATATCCAAACACTTACACACAAGTTATTGTCATGAAACTAGAAAAATGCTTGTTTTTTGCCCCTTTTTTGGCCCCTAATTCCTAAAATTTTGAGGCAATTACCCCCAAAATCAATTACAGCCTTCCCTTTGTGATATGGAACCTTGTGGTACAATGTCAGAGAGATCCATACACTTACACACAAGTTATTGTCTGGAAGTTACAAAAATGCTTATTTTTGGCCCCTTTTTGGCCCCTAATTCCTTAACTGTTGGTACCATAACCCCCAAAATCAATCCCAACCTTCCTTTCGTGGTATTGAACCTTATGGTAAAATTTCATGGAGATCCATTCACTTAAACTAAAGTTAGAGTGCGAAAACCAATGTGTCTTCGGACGACGCCGGACGACGACGACGACGACGCCAACGTCATACCAATATACGACCAAAAAATTTTCAATTTTTGCGGTCGTATAACTAAACATTAAGCAACGAACCACGAAAATGAGGTCAAGGTCAAATAAAATCTGCCAAACTGACATGATCATCGTATAATATTTCCATACACCAAATAAATTTGACCTATTGCATTCAGTATTAGAAAAACAGACCAAAACACAAAAACTTAACTTAGACCACTGAACCATGAAAATGAGGTCAAGGTCAGATGACACCTACCAGTTGGACATGTTCACCTTACAATCATTACATACACCAAATATAGTAGACATATTAGTTATAGTATCTGAGATATGGACTTGACCACGAAGGTCAAGTAAAATCTGTCTGACAGACATAAGGACCTTACAAGGTACGCACATACCAAATATAGTTATCCTATCACTCATAAGAAAGGAATTAACATTACAAAAATTTGTAACTTTTTTTTCAAGTAGTCACTGAACCATGAAAATGAAGTCAAGGACAATGGACATATGACAGAGGGAAACTTCATATCATAAGGCATCTATATACAAAGTATGAAGCATCCAGGTCTTCTACCTTCTGAAATATTAAGCTTTTAAAAAGTTAGTTAATGCCGCCGTCGCTGCCGGATCACTATGTTGAGCTTTCTGCGACAGAAGTCATATGCTCAACAAAAACCTGCATAAGGTAATGAATGATATGTCATAAAAAAATTTCCACTATTAAGATATATTATTCTGATTCAAAGTCAGCCAGTCTTTGCTGTTACTCTTAATTGCATGCTAAGGAAAAGGAGCAAATACCAATACTTATATAAGACACGACCAATACATGGTCTGGACCTGTGTTGCTGCATGCAATTGATTTCAAACTTTCCAAACATGAAGAAGCTGCACATCAAATATAAAATTGCTTACATTCTATGCCTCAATATTATCAAGCTCCAGAGAAAATATAAAATTATTCCAATAGAAGGCAAGAAACTTTTTTTCCTCCCAAAGGTCTTTTGATTATGACTTTATCAAACAGAGTCTGATTAGAACAGTAATGAGATCCAACCAACAACATACCAAACTACAGATGAGCAGACTTCCACAGAACCACTGATGTGTTTGTACTGTTTTTGAGTATACTAAAGTTATCATTTGAATATTTCTTTTGCAACAGCAAATATTGGAAATATTGGAATGGATTACCAGGTTAAATGTTAAAACCAATGAAAAAATATATTTTGTTGTTACCAATGACATCAATATAAGTGTCAACTTAAAAATGCTGGATTTTAATGTATTATTCTATCAAGTTGTCTCTTTTAAATTATAGACCTTAAACTTTAATATGTTAACACATTGGTCAGAAGAGTACATTCCTTATATAATCAGTTCTCCTAATTCAACCCTAAGTTTTTAATTCACTTTGAAGTTCTATTGATTAATAAACTATTACAAACCCTAACCATTTCTATGACATCGTATATTGGCTGATTAATTGTTATTTCCATTTTAATTAACAGTTGTACCTAAACATAGAACTAAAAAACAATCCTAAATGATAAATCGTTCTTACTTTAATTAATATGTTTTCAGGTTTAACATCTCTGTGAAATATACCGTGCCTGAAAAAGATCAAATATTACATGATTATTTGATAAACAAAGGCAATGTGCAGTAATTGATAGATGATAAACTCACATTTTTTTTGTCAAAAAAAAACTTATAAAATTACTCTGTTCAAAGGAGTAAACTTTTTTTACTCTGCTAGATTTTTTTCTATTGGAAAGAATTTATGGTAGAACCATGTCTGAATAAATGTGGATAGTGTCCACATGTGGACACTGATGATGCCCCCGCTTGCATATCATATAGTTATAAAGGGACATAACTGAAGAACGGTAAAAGTAACGCTACCCAAATTTGAACTTGATCTGAGTTTTGTGGTAATAAGCATTGTAAGTAAGTCTCATAACATTTGGTTGAGGCTAACTTAAGCAGAGAACAGAAACTAAAAATTTGGCAATTTTTCTATTTGTAAACACGCATTTCTCTAGAACGGTTGTGTATAAGTTTTATAACATTAACATTTGGTTTAGACAAACTAAAAAATTCAGCAATTTTTATGTTTATAAAGGGACATAACTCAAGAATGGTAAAAGTGTTGCCACCAAATTTCGTACTTAATCTGTATTATGTAGTAATAAGCATTGTGTATAAGTTTCATAACATTTGGTTGAGGCAAACTAAAGTTAGAAAACGGAAACAAAAAATTTGTACTTGATCATAGTTATGTGGTAATGAATATTGTGTATAGGTTTCTTAATGTTTGGTTGGGGCAAACTTAAGTTACAGAATGGAACCTAAAAATTTTGCAATCTTTCGATTTATAAAGGGGCATAACTCAATAATGGAATGGTTAAAGTGACACTACCCAAATTCAACTTGATCTATCAGTGGAAGTCAAAATTAAACATTGCATTGTATAAAGCATTGATTGTAGTTGATTCAACTATAATCATGTACAAAGGAAGATAACTCCAATTTTAAGAATTACTTGATATTTAGAAGAAAATAAATATTTTGCAATTTTTCCATTTATAAAGGGGCATAACTCTAGAACGGTTAAAGTGACACCACCAAAATTCAAACTTCCTCTGTGTTTTGTGGTAATAAGCATTTTGTATAAGTTTCATAACATTTGGTTGAGGCAAACTTAAGTTAGAGAACAGAAACTAAAAATTTTGCAATTTTTCCATTTATAAAGGGGCATAACTCTAGAACAGTTAAAGTGACGCCACCAAAATTCAAACTTGCTCTGTGTTTTGTGGTAATAAGCATTGTGTATAAGTTTCATAACATTTGGTTGAGGCAAACTCAAGTTAGAGAACGGAAACCAATTTTGGGACATATGGACGGACGTACGTACAGACAGACAAGGGTAAAACTTAATGCCCCCTCCGCTACGGCGGGGGCATAAAAACAGTTCACCCCTTATTGTACTGTACATGACAAACTAATAAAATAGACCATATTTTACCATTAAAAATTTGATTGATTTTTGTTTAACACCGCTTTCAGCACTGTTGTGCTATTTCGTGGCGGTCAGTTTTTATTGGTGGAGGAAGCCAAAGTGCTCAGAGTGAACCACTGACCTTCAGTAGGAAAACAGAAGATTTGTAAACCACTTCCTGTCTACTGTATGCATAAATATTGAAGTTGAAAAACAAAATCCCTTATCATTTTGCCTCCCTCCTCTTTATTTATTACTTGTATGATTGCCAGAAAAGTAGAAAGCAGAAGGCTAATTAGCTGGCTGCCCGATTCCTAAGGGGAAAAATGATCTATGGAAATAAAATTCAAATGAAAAAATCATGACTTAAATTACATTTGCCAAAGGAAAATTGAAAATTTGTTGATTTAAAAAATATAAGCACAATTTCATTTTCCATGACTGTCAATATAACAAAGGTTTGTTATATAAAAACATTATGTTTTCCATTCTGTTCATACTAACTGATATACCCCAGTAACATTGTCTATTCCTATCTAATAATCTTCATTCAAGAAATTAAAAATCACCATTAAACATTTTACCATTGCAACAATGTATTTGATTTAAAGTTTACCATTTGCTTGTTTTGCCTTTTGTGAAACAGTTTGATAAAAATCATTTTGAACAATGATAAAATTTATTATGAAGATTGGACCATTACTATGTATCAACAAGCGATTAAATTCCCACTTGAGAGTGATAATTTGAGATAATCAAACACTTATGTTTTCTATAAATGGCATAAACTGTAACAATATTTCAACTTAACCTCTATGAACGATAAGTGAAGGCCACCATAACATTTGACTTTAGTTTGACAACATTATCTTCCTTTAGAATGACTTGCATTTTTTAAAATTAATACAAAAAAATTACATAAGTTAACTTAACTATGTTATAAATTAACATGAATTAAATTATTAAGACATCATAATTCTCCTTACAATCTTTTTATTTAATTGATCATAGACTCATTTCACAAAAAATCTTAAGGGAAAAAGTACCAGTAAGTCATAAACATTTCAGTATAATTTACAATAATCTAAAAAAAAAATTGTAACATTTTTTGTGAAACGAGCCCTGGGGCATTTTTCACAAAAAAATTTCGATCAAAATTCAACGCAAGTTATACAGAAAAATTCACAACTAACAAGTTTTTTTCACGTAAGTTTTTTGGTGAAATAAGTAGCTGGTCTTTATAATTATCATAAATACTGCTAAAACACCAATCTATAATTATCTTCTCTCTCTTGTTCTGTGCAATCCTCCTCATACCATTAAATAACTAGATAACCCATTCTACCTTATACTATTGAAACCCCCTTAATCTTTTACAACTTTTCTTGACAATGATAAATTCTTGTTTATTTGCTATTTAGCATATATATAAATGTTGATGCTGAATCAACTGAATAGTTAGATCCGAACACATATAACTGTTTTTCCAACATATCAAATTTAAACAATCTGCATAAAACTGATCATTTGCAGTAAAGTTGTACTAGGAAGAAGAGTTTTAGATACAAAACTTTTCAATCTAATTTCTGAATTGTATAGATGAATACTACATACCTATGCATATGAGCTACAGATCTTAGCAGTTGATACATGTAATTTTTAACAACAGATTCAGGCATATAGTGCTGCTTGTCTGTGCAAAAAGAAAAGATATGTGCAAACAGGCTAACTAAAGAAGATATCAAACTTAAACTAAAACATTCTAGCTAATGTGCAGAGTATCATATTCACACAATACACTAAAACTGAACTATGTTCTAAATACTCAAAACAATTAAATCATTGAATAAATTATCCATGTCAACATAAATATGTGTCCAATATAATTAAAGAGGATTTTAATTTCAGGTAGCATAAATAAAAGAGATGACAGCTTTATTTTTATATTTTTTTTTAAGAAAAATAAATATATACGAATGCTTCAGAAGCCATCTCAATCTCAAGTAATCAATTTATGAATGAAATGATTTTCTAAAACATCAGTTCAGCTCTAGTCATGCAAATCTACTGAAAACAAATTTAAATTATAACAATGCAGTGATAATGAATGGAAACAGACAGTTGTGAATGAAATTCTGTTCCCAATATACATTGGATTTCTGTCATATTTCATGCCTTATTCTAGAGTACAATGACTTTAAATAAAACTATTTTTCTGTCTCAATTCCTAACATTTTTCATAGATATTTCATAGAAGTGTTCTTCATAGATATTATATAGTCATGTAATCTGTTTACTTCTAAAGTTTGGGAATCTATGGACTTACTATTCAATTAATTTTCTGAAAAAATTCTGAATATTTAGGAATTTGCTAACTATAAAACTATCATATCCAATACCGATTTCTTCTCACTTAACGTTTTTGTGCAATTATTTTTTGTTTCTTTTTACTCAAAGAAAATTCAACACAAACTTGATTTCTGCTGTTGAAACATTTTGGAATAACTTAACAGCTTTCCTCAAACATAAAATCTTCATGAATGGATTAATTTAACTAACAGCTATTGTTTAGGTATGCAGACCATATTACTACCATTTAATAGATCTTAAACATGATATAATCATATTGATCTTACATTTGCAGGTTTTAAATTCAGGAACTCTGGTGATTTACATATTGATTCCATGTTTGTTATATTCATTACTTATACATTTTCTATTTTCTAACTACTTTTTCATCTAACCCAGTACCTTTTTCCAAAGAAACTTTTATAGATCCTGCTTTTAGCTTTTAATCTAAAATTGAATGCTTAAAACTTGAAAGCAGCTGACAGTATCAAATTCACAGATCAATTTTTGACATGTGTATAGTGTGCTTTGCCACAACATCTAGTTTGGAGGTACAGTTCCAGCCATACTACTTATTCTTTAAAGAGTTAAATTCCCACACCTAGCATTAACAAATGACAAAGATATGCCACTTTCATAATATTCAGATGTACAATAAAGTAAAAGGTATAAAAAATGTATTTAAATTTTTGTAAGTGCTAGTACCATTCATACATGTATGTATTCTTTTAAATCTGGAATGTGTCCTTAGGGCCTCAAAATGAACACCATGAAAAAGTACACATTATGGTAATTTTAATTTCAATTTGCAGTAACAGTTACACTTCATGTATTTAAACTTAAAATGCAATCAATTATTTATCAAAACATTCTGAATTTATTCAAACTGAAGGAGTTCTCAAATGAATGTTTAATTTCAATATGTCAATACATGATTTTTAAAACATAAAAAGTAATAAGGTTACTGTGAATTCAATCATAAAGTTAACAACAATAATCCAAACTAAGTCTTTATTCCCACTATTTAAAATCCTTAAAACTTTATTATGCTGAAAAATGTTACATCTGAATAGAAATGAAAGAGAATTTTTTTGTTTATTCAAATGTACCTTTAATCATATAAAAATGACATCTACTGAATAGATAACCAAAACAAATACAAGAATGTTTTCTAACAGTGAAAAATAGCTTCAGTGTATTACAGGTATATGAATGGAATAAAGTAAGAAAAATAATATTCATTTTGTTCACGAAATAAGATGAACAGAGTGAGGTCAAACACATGCTACTTGATAAAGAATACATGTGTTCAGAGATACAGAAGTGTGTTCAAAGTGTGCTAAAGAAACTAGCAACAATATACTTGTACACAAACCATCCTTTCAATATTTTCAACATATTTTTAACAAAATTTTCTGCTAAATTTTCAAGTACAGATGTACAAATATGCATTTAAACTATATAATCAAAATCTAGAATCACTAGAAGATACCAATAACATTCTTTTATACTGAATGGAGAATTAAACTATTTTGAAAACCAAATGAAGGCATGATCTTTTGATGTGAAGAATGATTTGTATAAAAGTACAAGGTTTTTCATATAAAATTGTGAAATCATTTGTTTGGTGTACTTTACCTATGCATATGTTCAACTGACTTTAACAATTGATACATATAATGTTTAACTTTTCGTTCAGGTAAATAATGTCTTTTTCCTGAAAATGTCAAATTTAAGTATTACATCAGTAACATTCAAATAAATAAAACACTTATTTGTTTTAAAAAACATCTTGAACTTCTCAACTGATAAATCATAGCCAATTGATTTTCTAGAGAACACAACTCAGTATTTTTTCACATCCTAATAAAGCAGAATTTTAATTTCTACAGGCATCATGGATTTTTAGGACACATTTTTCAGCCCCTGTTGAGTAAATTTCAACCTGGAGGAACCCTTCTTGAAAAGAACATGTCTTAAACTCGAACAGATTTTCACAGTCTTTTGTTTTTTTAAAAGTTGGAGGATATCATAATCTTTAACTGACTCAAAACATATTACCTATGTTAATTGTATGGACAACTTTGGTTACTATAATATTTAAACTGACTTTTAGACTGTAAATTAAGATTTTTGTACATCCAAGGAAAACATAAATGTATCTTTCCATTTAAAATCATTTGTTAATATTAGGGAACACCTGAACATGTACCTTAGTTCATGAGGAAAATAACATCATTTGTTGCGCTTGTTTTTGAATTTATTTCCACAATTTCTTTGTAAATAAAACTCGAAAAACTGTCATCTTAAAAAATGATGTTCATTATTTATTGCATAAATTAATAATGATAGCTGTATATAGTAATTATGACTTGTTTGAGGTCCCAACTTTCTGATGGAAAATGGATTATAAGCATACCTTTTTATGGTATGTACAATGTATCAGTACTCTTCAAGCATACAATAAACTCTATATTTATAAATTTTGGTCCTCTATATAATTGATAAAGTGGTATTGATCTGAATGTAAACTTTGGACCAATTATGATACATAATTGAAACATCACTTATAAATCAATTAACAAAACAATCTGTTGCTTCCTACAGGGATGTTTACAACGATGTGTTGCTACATACTTTTTTTAATAATTGAGGCTGTTTATCATACAAGTCATTTATTATGAATTTAAATGTTCAAAATAGCTACTGAATCTTAGTTTAGATTGATTCTTTACAATCAGAAATCAAATATAAAAATTAAACATCTTGTTAACTAGTGAATCAATAATTGAAATTAGATGAAACTTTAATACATCTTGTAAACATGAGCAGCAGATCCAGAACTTTTCAAAAAGGTAAATTCTGTCTATGAGGGGTGAACACACAGTCTAAAAACTGAAAAATGTACTGAAAAAACTTTGGCATAAGCAGACACAATGTTAAGAGCGGAACAGGATGTTTTATTCAAGTCACGTTGGCTAGTCTCTACAAATCAAATTTTTATTGAGCAATCAGTATTTACATATATTGGAATAATTATAATTATTTAACTTGTATTCAGAATACCTTTTTGTTAAAAACTTGGTATGAAAAGATATACCTGTATGCATAAACTAAAGTATAAAATATTTCTTTTTTCTTTCAATTATTGAAACAGCACTTCAAATATACAGATTATTTTCAGACCTATAAGTAAACTAAATACAATGAGCTGGTTTGCTTTCTCATTAGTTTTTATGAACTAACTGATTAACCGTGTCTTTTCAATAAATAATTCTTGTAAATTTAATTTTCAAATACAGTTTTGGTTCAAAGACTGAGTATTTTTCAAACTATGGTCTGATTCTAAAACAAATCTGAAGAAGTGATATTTTAAAAATATGTAAACATGAAATACACCTGGGATTTTTCACAATACTCCCCTAGATCACCATAAGTGAAGAATCTCAAACTGTGAGAGAAAAATATATAAAATACTGCTGTTTAAGAAAACAATTGATTTCTGTCCAGACAATGACCAAAATCCATATTCAGGGAATGGGGCTGGGGTTGGGGAAGGTTTGGTTTTTGGGTTTAGGGCATAATTATTTACTTCTGTTAGACATCTTTGCATGCCTGTCACAAGCTAGGAGCCTTTCTGAAAACAAACAAATGGAGAATTTGTCCATGGGACACAGATGATGCCCCCGCTTGCATATAACGTTATATAGGGGCATAACTCAAGAACGGTAAAAGTGACACTACCAAAATTCGAACTTGATCTGTGTTTTGTGGTACTTAGTATTGTGTATAAGTTTCATAACATATGGTTGAGGCAAACTAAAGTTAGAGAATGGAAACCAATTTTGGGAAGTACGTACATACGTAAGGAAGGACAAGGGTAACACTTAATGCCCCCTCAGAGAAATCCATGATATAGGTTGGTGACCCTTACTTCTTCAGCAAGCAGGAAAGACACTTTTTACCTGTTTCTTATCATCATGGATGCTTCATTTTTGTGTATACTCATGAATATGTTGGTCCATCATTTAAACATTGAATAAAATCTTCTGCTTAGTTTTGAATTTGCTGACTAAAGGATAATTTATAGAAACATGATAATGTGTCCTTAAGACATATACTACAGAAATGCCCTGTTTCATAAAGGCAGTCTGCTGTGTTGCTAAAACAAATCTACATAAACAAGGAGGTCTTTTGATATTGTGTGTATGAGAAACAGATTTGCCTAAAACCTGTAATTATGAGGTTAACTTAAAAAAAATGTTTGAAGACAAGTCATAGCTTATAGAGTCAACACACAGATTTTGGGTCCTTTTCAGTAAACATTACAACTACTGTAGTTTAATGATTTCAACTGCAAAATTAGTTTATTGAGGAGGCAATAAAAATATTTGTCCCATCCAACCTTCACATTATGAGGGTTTCTAACCTATAAAGTACTATTTTCACCAGAGTTTCAGTTGTTGTTGCTGCTAAGTAATTGTATTAAATTTGTGACAGAATTTATTAAAACCATTGTGGACTTAACATGAATGGCTTCCACTAAAACTAAACTATAATCATAAACCTAATAATACCCATCATTGCCAGTGTCTTGACTAAAATTTTCATACTAGGTCTAGTTTAAGTGTGTTCTCTAGAAAATCTGTTTTAAACATTGTATGTTTTATTTTTTTCAATTTTGTTCTTATGAAATAAACAAACTTTGATATACATTTTTGGCTTAAGGAATAATATAACAGAATAGCATAATTGATTAACTTACCTCTAATTAATTCATATATATTCATATCCATTAATTCACATATAAGCACTAATGTTCCTGACTTCTTGTCACTGTAACAGAAAATTAAATTACATATAAGTTGAACTACTTTTTTTGTATACATTTTTTATCATGACTAGTACTTTTATATCATCTGTTAAACTCAAAAGAGTAAAATAAATACAGTCAGTTAATAAGGGACTTGTAAAATTCATAAAGCAGTCTATTCAGAATTTTTATTTCTGGTTCTGAAACCAATAGCCTTTGAACATTTCCTAATAAATTAAACTCCGTTTGGTGAACCAACGCCTGTGTGAATCATTTCGATAGAGTCCCTGAAGCGGAGGTGAAACATGTAGACCATAGCAAATAAAATTGCAGACCATTTGAAGTGTTGTTGTCAATTTTGAGTATTATTTCCTAATAAATTATAATATATACTTTAGACTTAGAATACATATATATTGGAAGATCAGTGTTCACCCCAGGGCCTTTTAGCAATGTAATGTGATGCTAAATATGACTTGAATGTTATGCTATCTGAAATAATGTTCTTATACATTTGTACAATGTGTTATTGATGTGATGCTATAATTTCTAGAAAGACGCTATATGAAATTTTTGGGGAGAACACTGAAGATTTGTAAATAACTGTAATTAAATCTTTCCCTCTGATGTAGATATTTAAATAGATTGAAATTGGAATTAAGTCTATATCAGCTGGCTATAAGGAAGCAGCACATTTCCTACAAACCTCTGTGATGTAAAACACATATACATGTAAACATAACCAGAATATAGACATTTAAACTTAACAATACAAGCTAAACATAGATAAATGATTGGATTCTAAAATTTTAAGCATGTCTACCTTTTAACAATTCATTAAACTGATAAATGGTCAAACAATAAAAAATGATGAGATTGACTGATAAAGAATATGTGCAAACAAAAAATTCAGTCGCCACATTTACACCATTGTTTGAACAATTACAATGTCATGTTGTAATAAATGCCTTTAGAATATGTAGAAACATTAAACCTAAATATGTAACAAACACCCAAACTGTCAGATGATAGTTACTATAGAATGCATACTGTTTAAACATACAATTAATCATATGAAAATATTTCTTCATGCAGTTTCACCATTGTTTTCCACATTACAAGTATAATAATGCTGATCTGCACATCATTCATATGACAGTACTGAACTAGATTGATTGATTGATTGTTGATTGCTTTACGCCGCATCAGCACGTACTGAACTAGAACTGAATTCTGTATTTTAATGTTTTAAAACAGCTACATGCTCACTCTCCATTTTATTAGAATGGAGAATCATTGCCAGTTGGATATGTACACCTAACAATCATTCCACACACCAAATATAGTTGACTTTTTGCCTATAGTATATGAGATACGTTCTAGACAACAAAAACTTAAACTTGATTAATGATCCATGAAGTGAGGTAGAGGTCAGGTAACCCTATCTGACGGACATGTAGACCTTGCAAGGATCCCATATATACCAAATCTATTTATCCTATTACTCACAATAAGTGAGTTCTTCACATAAGAAAACTTTGGAATTATTTTTTCAAGCAGCTGCTGAACCATTAAAAATGAGTTCAAGGACAATGGACATATTATCTTCTATGTTCCTATGAATATGTTATAAAACTTACCAAAAATTATATTTTGGTAGCAAAGTACAACTCGACAACTGAAGATGCTTAGTACTGAAAAAGGAGTTATACAGCACTTTCAAGCCCTAAATATCACAAAATAAATTGCAGAAAAAAATTCAAACAGATAATGGTCATTCCAGACTTTTCAACTACTAATTGCCTAAAAGGAGACCATTAGGTGGTTTTAAGGTCACCTAGAGGTCCTTTGAGAAGCCTACATGACTGTTATAGAAGTGTTAATGTCAATTATGGTCAGTATATAGATTACCTTCAAACCATATACCTATAAGCAATTTGAGTTTATTCTATATATTTTATTTTGAACACTCAAATATCACAATTTTTTCTCTTGTTTTGTCAAATTACATAGATCACCTGTTCTACAAATTAAATACTTACAATATGACCTCCTGAAGTTCCAGGATATTGGAATGGGGACTTAGTCTCCTCATGGCTTGGATTTCTCTTAAATTGTTTACTTGTTCAATACTGTAAGTACAAAATAAACAATGACAAGATATTTACCTTGAGATACCTATAAATATAGGTACATCAAAAAATATATCTGATCAATAAAAAGTCATTTTGATTTTAAATACAAATGAACTAAACTATATGTGCATGTTTCACTTGAAGTTAGGTGGCCAAATTTCTGCATATCTATCAAATAATCTCTACATGTTCCTTTCCAAAATCTTTTAATCCTGCTATTGGGGTGAATCAAAAAAAAAATTGACAGAAAGAATATTTTTACATAAATAAGACATATGTTGCAAAAAAACTGGGTTTTATCATGTGCTGGAAAAATATACCATGAAGTATATGGGTGAAAACTCTCAGTATTCAATCAAACTTTATTTATTTTTAGTTTTGTTATTCTGTACATGTCCTCAATATTTCAATCAACCATAATCTTAAATCAATTCTTTAAAAAACACACCCATGAAGTCTTTGGCAATATATATATATTGAGGTAATAGTATAAGTGAACCAATACACTATAGAAATAGTTTTGGTACTTCTTGTGGATTTTGTAGGAAAAAAATTGGTGAATAATCGCTTTTGAGTTTTTATTCCTTCATGTAACAGCTGCTTACTATACTATGACACATAATTCCATTAATTCAAATTTAAAATAACTGTAGTAGAGGTTTCATTATGTCAGTTATTTAAAGGTCCTCTGTTTAAAGAAAAAGTCTGTGGTATTTTTTTTTTTATATATATCTATATATATAAATTTGCAGCCTCATCCATTATCCCTATAAAATTTCAATTATTGTAAAGATTTACCAGACTTCTGTTATAAAACTATGAAAGGAATGTTCACATTATAATTCAAAGTCCTGAACCTGAGATGTATATATTCTTGAATATCTTTTTATTTCATTTATTTGATTTTGATTTTTTGGTGTTTTAACGCCACTTTTAAGCACCGCTTTTGGGCTATTTCGTGGCGGCCAGTTTTTATTGGTGGAGGAAGCCGGAGTGCCCGGAGAAAACCACTGACCTTCGATAGGAAAACTGACAATCCTAGTCAATTAAGATTGGAGTCCAGTGCACCTGCACGAGCGGGGTTCGAACTCACAACCTCAGTGTTGACTGGCTAGTGATTACAGTAGTAACTACTTAGACCACTCGGCCACCGAGGCCCCTATATTTCATTTACTAAATGTATATACATATGAACATGTATATGCAATCATATCAGATTATCCAAGCAACTTGTTGATAATCTTCTGCATCATTTGGTCTCTTGTAGAGAGTTGTCTCATTGGCAATCATACCACATCTTTCTAATTTGTGATACTATAAAGTATGGTCTGGTATATAAACTTGGATTGTGAAATCAGTATGAAACCTTTATTTATATTATCCCTACACTTTTTGGAACAAGAAGTATAAACTGTAAATAAAATGAGAACAATTTTTCTTTTCTATGATATTTTGTCTAGACAGATTCAGAATCTAGCCTGTGTGACACTACTTACAAACATAACACATCACTATTCACAGATGTATTTTATGATATATACCGGTAGTCTGAATAGATCTAAAAAAATTTTAACATCAATATGAAAAGATAATTTAAATGCAGATCAATATACAATATGTTTCTTTGACACTCTGTGACAGTATATGCATTATTCAAATGTAAGACATAATAAGAAGCAAGGGATTCTTTTTTACCATTGCTTAGCTTAATTAACTTTTATCCTATACATGTAGTATTTACCAAGTATATCTTTACAAATTATTGATATTGATCCAGGAAGGACTTCTGGAAATTATTTCCATGTTGAACAGATACAATATATTTCATTCTTTTTTATTTCTTCAATTGGATTTTTATCACTTTCATTATTTGTATCTTATATATATATTTACAAAATTATGTCAGTATTTTTTTAGTAAAATATGTGAATGTGCTGTAAGAAGGCAATGGCATATAAGTTTTTATAAATTTATTACACAGAGAAGTTATAAAAAGTTTAAATGCATTTGTATATGCAAATAAATCCTATCAATAGCGATTAAGGACCAAAGTAGACCCACAGAAAGATAACTGCTATGAGCTTGGTATTTAAGATAAATATTCAAAAGTTAACATTTACTCGTTAATAAGAATGACCAGTAATATCAGATCAGAACAAAATTTCTTATACATTAAAATTTAATGGTAGATGTAATAACTTTATGACTTATTACATGGAAAAAAACTGGGTTAATTTTCAAGGAGATATACTGAATTAAAAATCAGGGTTGTCGACAACGTGAGGGTCAGACTAAACTTGGACTACATTTTAGAGTGCAATATAAATATTAGCATTAACAAGAATGGTAAAGTTGATAAATTTTAGAAAATAAACTGTACTTGATTGGAATTATAGATATACATACATATACATATACGTATAAAAGTCTTTTTATAAAAATTAATCTTTTTATATTTATTTGTTTACAATTATACCAACATGATAACCAAATGGAAAAAAAACTTGAATATTTTGATTTAGATTAAAATTATTCCTAGCCTGGAATATACACAAAATGTAGTGAGCATACTTTTTCCAACTACTTTTATAGTTTGATTTTGTACACAACTGTCAAAGGTAAGGAGACTGTTGAGCTCTCATAAACATGTTTAACCCTGCCACATTCTTAATGTGCCTGTCCAAATTCAGGAGCAGGTAATTCAGTAGTTGTCAAAGATTCACTGTCTGCCTTATTTGCTTTTCATTGTTTTTTTTAGCATAAATCTGGCAGTTGTATTTCTCTTTTGAATTGTTTTACATTTTGACCTGTCTGTGCTTCTTATAGTTTACTATAGGGTATGGGTTTTGCTCATTATTGAAGGCATTGCCCAACAGCATTTTTAAAATCCTTGTCCGTTGGTCTAAAAGTTGATAGTTGACTCATTAGCAATAATACCACAGGGTCATCTCCTTTAATATTTCTTTAAATAATCTTTAAGGGTTTTTTAAATGGACTTTGAGAATATGTCTGACTAATTGTCTTGTTTTGTGTTCAACTAAAATTCAGCCTTTAGGATGTTTGTTACTCTTGTTTTTGACTTTTTGTGGGATATTTTTATCCATATACATGTAGTACCAATAAAATTTTTGCTGCTAATCCCTACTTTCTTTTCACAATTTTATTACATATAGTTTTAAAAGTCATTTTTGAAAATCTTATAAAATCCTTGTTATTTTTTCATAGTTTTTGAAAGAAAAAAGGTGCCAATGTTATATGCAAGAAAAATCTTATGACACTGACCTTTCTTTTTTTTTTATTTTTTCAGTTCCATTATTTAAATACATAGTGTACTATCAATTTATAACAGTCTTTTAAAAAGCTTGTTATTTTGAAACAGAGGAGTGAACATCCTTAACAAAATCACATGTAACGGTATTAGAATAAAACAATTACATTTCTATAAGTCTACTTTGTTTATAAGAACTCAAAGATGTCTTTTTGGTGTATTTCACATATATTTAGGGTGCTATCTCAACAATATTAACCCAACATCTGATTGTGTTCATAAAAAAAAATCTCTTATACATATTGAGGGATATGCCCTTGAACAATCACATAAAATTAACTCTTATTCCATTAATGGGAAGAGGGGTTTTCTGTGCTGTTTCTATGATCAATAAAATGCTTCGCTGAGCGCAGCCTGATACGACCGCAGAGGTCGAACCCTGAACAGTTGGGGCAAATTTGGATATAATATTCAAGCTTGATACTGTCTGAATTTTGATTGTGATCAAATTTTTGACATAATATAGGTTTCTGACACAAAATAAATGTGGTAAAAGATCTTACAAATCTATTGCGCGATACTGTGCAATTGAAGATTACTTCTTGAAACTTTTACAAAATTTGAAATTTGAAAATTTTTGAAAAAAATATGAATTCCTTAAAAATATTGGAAACCCCTAATATGGAACCTTATGGTACAATATTAGAGAGATCCATACACTTACACACAAGTTATTGTCTGGAAACTACAAAAATTGTTGTTTTTGACCCCTTTTAGGCCCTTAATTCCTAAACTGTTTGCCCCATAACCCCTAATATGAATCCCAACCTTCTACTTGTAGGTATTAAACAATGTTGTACAATTTCAGAGCAATCGAAATACTTATACACAAGTTATTATCCTGAAACTAGAAAAATGTTTGTTTTGGGCCCCTAATTCCTAAACGGTTGGGACCATCATCCCCAAAATCAATCCCAATTTTCCTTTTGTGGTATTGAACCTTCTTAAAAAATTTCATAGAGATCCATTAACTTAAACTAAAGTTATTGTCCGGAAAACAATGTGTCTTCGGACGACGATGCAGACGACGTAGACGACGACGACATCATACCATTATACGATCCCAAAACATTTTTAGCGGTCATATAAAAAGAGCTGATATGTCTAATTATATGAGACAAAAACTTTGCACAAATAACAAATTAATTCTTTTATAATAATTATTAAATATAGATTTTATTGATTTGAACTTTATTGAGGTACATGTACAAGTAAGAATATCTGATTAACAATTAGGCATTTAGTACATAAAAATAATCAAAAGACTTAATTGTAATAATAGTCTGCTGGTGGGATCATTGTAGACTAAAGGCCATGTATTTATTGTAAAGAGGAAAGGTATTTTTGGACTAATGCCACCCCATGAATAAATATTAACAAAATATTTACTGATCTAAATGTAAACAAAAATCAACACATTAACATACAAATAGTTGTCTATACATGTTTGTTTCAGTTTAAATTCAAATTAATTTTAAGTAATAGGATATAACCAACTACTAAAACTTGCCAATTTTCATGGTATTATGAATAAAACATATTCTTTTAAAATACTAATTGATAATTGATTGAAAGTATTTTGGCTTGACAAAGACAATTGATTAGTATCTAAGATATCCTCAGTGTAATATGTTTATACTTTTGAACCTAACGATAGAGTCGGATCAGTGATATTTCTTTGTATCAAAGGGCAATATTCAACTAATGTATAAGATATTGACCTGTCCTTAATGACTTTCACTTTTTACAAGATAATAATACATGTATATTTTAACATGCCTCAAGATCATATTTAATTAAAAATCTCATACCACAAATCTTTTTAAGAATATTTTTTCAAACCTCTGTATCAAATTTAGTATGATAGAAAGGCATTTTTTACCTTTCGTATGTTTGTTTCATCTTCTTGCAGGCCCAGTAAGTACCATCTTTTATATGTTGACATTTTAAAACTTCAGAAAATGTACCTTCACCCTTTTTTCCAAGGATTCGATACTCTGAAAAGAAAATTTCCATAAAATTACTGTTCTAAATTGATATTAAGGTTATCCACAATAAATACTTGGTTTCTCAATGTAACTGACCCAGTTAAATCACTGTAACTCATTTTTACCATTTGTTTTACAATGTGTTTTTCCACAAAACAAAAAAACAAATTTCTGGTAACAAGTCGGTATTTTGTATGCATTCCTTACTATGTCCTCTGTCCTGGACACATCAGACATGCCTTGTAGCAGCAAATTTCAGTTCTCACTCAGTCATGATTGTAAATAAAGAAAAAGGAAAAAAAGAGGAGAGTTTTGGTCAAAACAATATCAAACAGTTATCAAAGAAGATGGGAGGACACGATGAAAAGATGTTTTAAATGAAGATGATTTTTCATATAGGATTGTTGATAAATGCATTATATTGAATATATAACTATTGCTGACTATGAAATCATACATATTGCTCTTTTTAAGAAGAAACTATGGTTATGGTTATAAGCTTATTAAATTGTATTTGAAATGTGGTAAAAAAGAAAAAAAAACATTACATAAATATAACATGTTCAAGGTGTGGTAAATGCTCTGAATAAGCCTGTAATATGGATCGCTGAATTTATGTAATCACTTTAAGACACTATACATTGTACATGTAAAATCATGCATAAGTATAACATTTTTTCAGTTCCTTTTAGTTTCATTTTTGCACATTTCAAATTATACCTTCTTGTACCAGTCAAAAAATCTGTTTCCTTTTAAAAATATTGCCAAAAACATGACAGAAAAATTCAGGATTCCAGATTAATCCACTTAACACAGGGTTTGTACTTAAATGAGCAACACTACGTACATGACAGGCACATGTGGATCAGGATCTGCTTACACTTCTGGACACCTGAAATTCCCCCTAATTTTTGTTGGGGTTCATGTTGTTAAGTCTATTTTGTTTTTCTTTGTTGTGGTTTGAATACCGTTGTCTTTTGATTGTTTTTTCCTTTTTTTGCCATGGCATTGTCAGTTTCACCTCATGAGTTTGATTATCCCTTTGTTATCTTTCACCTCTCTTTTAAACAGATTTGTTCATTACATTTTAAGTGTTGCTTTCTACAGCTTGTGCACATTTGTAAATAGCAGGCAACTGAATACCCAACCATGTTTTGATGAAGATTAAGCCATGGATTCAAGTATTTGCTAACCCAAACCCCCAAATTTTGATATGGAGTTGTATGAAGCCCTAACATGGTTCACTAGCTAGACATGAATCAAGTCATTGACCAGTAGAAGAGTAACAAACTAACTACATGTACTCAGTATATACCGACGGTACAATGTAACATGTTAGCTCTGATGGTGCCTTAACAGTTAATATAAAAATAAAGAGATGAGGTATGATTGCCAATGAAACAACCATCCACCAAAGTTCAAATAAAGTGGATATAAGCAATTATAGGCAATCGTACGGCCTTCAACAACGAGAAAAACCCATACCATATAGAATGCTATAAAAGGCCCTGAAATGAAAACTATGAAACAATTCAATTGAGAAAACTAATGACCTAATTTATAACAAAACAATTTACGAAAAAAACAAATATGACAGACATGAACCGACGACGACCACTGAACTACATACAGGCTCCTGACTTGGGACAGGTACATAAAAAATGTGGCAGGGTTAAACATGTTTGTGAGCGCTCAACTCTCCCCTTACCTTGGACAGTGGTGTAACATGTACAGCACAACATAAGAATGTTTACTTGTATTCAGGGTATAAGTTCCAATGGCTGAATGGGTGCTTAAACAGGTAAAGTAAAAATTCACTTCAAAAGTGTTTGAAACAAATGCAGAAATCATCATGAAGAATCTGAATACTACTGAATGTACCCTGTGTAATCTTTAAGATAGAATTATTTGGTATCTTACACTAAATTATCTACATGTGTATCATGTTCAGTAAAAATATTTTTTTTCAAAAGTTGTCTTTTGCAGGCTACTGATTTTTAAATAAATATACCCTTGGCAAAGAAATTTGAATTTCTATACTACAACACTGAAAATAAACACAGCCAATCAATCTATACTTCTATAAGAATGGACTTCAGTGTTCTCTTCAGAAATTTCTTATATCATCCTGGTAAAGAGGAAATTATGAAATACCATCTTGTTTCTAGAAACTATAGCATCACATCCATAACACTATCTATAAGAAACTAATTTTAGATAGCAAATAATTACTGCATCACATTACTATGACCGAAAAGGCCCTGGGGAGAACACTGGACTTCATTCTTTGGGAGGTAAAAATGTACATGTGTATTGTGTTTGCCTAGATTGTGAAAGGTCATGGGTATGGTTTGAAAACAGGCCTGATCACCCCAAGACTTGAAAATTGGTATTTGTTGCTTCTCTACAAGCAATTCACATTTTGGACAAAGGGCTACTGGTTGATTAAGAGCCATGTCTTCCTGGACTGCAGACTGGTGTTACTTTAGAATAGAGAATGGAAACAGCAGGTTTGTACATTTGACCTACATGTAGCATGACAAATAACACTTGAAACAACTGCCTCAAGCAAAGTTGACCGGCTATCCTTATTGGGTCCCTTTTGGTCATAAAAATAAGCAGCTTTTTATGCTTCTACACCTTTTTACATCAATGACTCAACTGTTTAGGTTTCAGAGAACTTTTAACATAAATCCATCTATCTTTAAATCAGCCATCCTATCAATATTTAGATTTTCTTCTGTGGTTCTAAAATGGGTAGATGGTCCAGAGATAAAAGTCTTAAACCGTCAATTTCATACATTTTAACCAACAAAATATGAATGACTAACTTTTTGATTGGACATTAGATTTTTCATGGACTTAAAACCAATGCTCTCTAGATCTGCAGTCACAGACGACATATCAATTCATAAGATAATCATTTAACAGGAACTTTTTAAACATAGGCATGTCTTGTATTGAATTGTACAAATATTGTATGTTTGTCTTAAATTTATTGCATAATATTGTGTTTGTACATGAAGTTGGTTCAAAAGCATTTCAGAGTGTATGTTATTTGTGAATTTTGTTCATCAACTACTAGTAGAGAAATAAACTTTTTGACTTTTGACTTTGAACTTGCTGACATCATTAGTCTTACATTTTACAGCTGCAATTACAAAAAAATGTATCTGTACACTGGCTCCTTTAAAGAAGACTTTTTTTGCAGAATAAACTGAATGTGATTTTTTCAGTTAGAAATACTGGTTATTTCAAGCATTACTGTTAAGTTTTGCCACAATCAGTTCAGTAGTTTCAGAGAAATTTAGTATAATGTAAGACCACATCTACAACGATTTGAGCAAAATTTCTTAGGAAAATTCAAATCACACCGCATTATCATAGTATATACATAGTGTGGACCAATAAATGATCAAATGTTCATCTCATCTGCATAAAAACAGTTGAATAAGATACGAAAGATGACTTTAAGATGATAAACACCACTAATGTACCTCTTTGTCTTCATTATTAGGTCCCCTTTTGTTAACAGAATAAGCATAGACATACATGTGTGTGTGTGTGTGTGGGGGGGGGGGGTGTTAAAAGGAAGTCTTGCCAGTTTGGACCACAACTTATTAGTTAACTATACCTCTAAACCAAAACTTGAACCTACCTTACACACAAACTTTACCTGACCAATGACTTAAATCTGAGTCAAAACCCTAATCACTGATAAGGTGGCACAGATTTTTTTCATCATAATCAACATACATTTGTACATTTGACAAAAGTTCTAAGTTTCAAGCTAATGTGACCACAATTTCATGATAAACTATCTTAACCCAAATCTTTATCCTCATCAATAAATTGCAAAAACAGGTTTAAAACTGGGCGCAGGTTAAACATGTTAAAACTTTTTTTTTTAAAGTTCACATCATAATGCACAGAGGTTCTGTAGAAGTGATCATGATTAATTTCATGTTATACTACCTAACACCACAAAACTTGAACCTGAAACAAGACAAACTAACTGATGGACAGGTAACTGCAAAGACTGGAAAACATTATGCCCCCCTTCTGTCATATAATGGGCATAAAAATAACAGTACATCAGCATCAATATTGACTAATGAATTAATTGAAAGCTTATCATGCTTATTGAGAACCTGAAAATCTTTTTGAGCTGACAGAATTTTAGTGGGCAAAAAAAAAACAGTAGAAGACAATAAATAAATGTCAATTAAAAGTATCACAAAGATGTAGTCCAGCAAATTAGAAGTTTTAACTGACATTTTCTTGAATCCTGTGTTCTTTTATAGAGATTTCTATCTTAAATAGATTAAAACCATTTTGTTTCTTTAATGTTAAGGTTCAAATGTATGAATTCCTGATACAAATTTTGTAGTTCAAATTCATTTAATCTTCCAGCAGTGAATGATCTGAATTCCTCTTGAGCTGCTTGCCCATTGTATTTGGTAAAAATAATAATAAACTTGATTGGAAGGACCAGATTCAGACGGGGCACACCAGTTGCATACTCCATAAAATCAGACACAATTTAAAAAAAAATTAACATTCTCTTGTATGAAAATCTTCCAAGTATTGGAATACAGTATTACTGTGAATGTACTGTGGGATTTTAAGATTTACTTCAAACGAGTTTCAAAGCATCCTGATCGCAATATTAATTCAAATTTGTCAGATTACCACCCTTGATTTTTTCACTCTGTTGGATAGTATAGGCGGCTTTATATGACACTTGTTATCCATTCGTTGGATGTGTTTGAGCTTTTGATTTTGCCATTTGATTAGGGACTTTCCTTTTTGAATTTTCCTCGGAGTTCAGTATTTTTGTGATTTTACTTTATAATTTATTTATGGAAACCTGGTAACTTCAATAAATGACTTGAATTAAAACTGTAACAATCATAAAGTCAGACAGAGGTATTTGGAGTGAAAAAAAATGTTTAGAACACATATTTTTAAAAAAGTTTGTCTGGTTCTAACTCACAATTTACAATTTTGTAAAATTCCGGCTTTTTTCAACCTACATGTATACAACCTAAAATGAGCACTCACTTTGAAGTAAAAGGTTCATTCGAAGAGTACGGAAAGTCATCCACAATTCAAAAATGAACAAGCCTCTTGGCAATTATTAAGGCCTTTCTCTGAATACATCACAACTTTACACATCCCTTCTGTAAATCCATAGTTTTCGTCACTTTATTTACAATCCAACAAACGTGTATTTCATTTTACAACCGCCATTACCGGTATCCTTGAGCAATGGCTTAAAAGAGGCCAAAGACAGGAGTATTGCAGAATTTAACTCGAAAGTTATCATATTAAAATATTTAAATTATTTTACATTTTTATCCTTACATGGTTTAGACACATTTTCATTTAGAAAAGTAATTCTATATCAGTGATTTCTACATAGGACGTTTTAAGATCTTTTAAGAATATTTCACCATTTGCCATAGTCTGATTAATTATGACGTCTTGCAAGGCTATACGTTGTAGTAATTTTTAAAGCTTCACAGTAAATATTATTTGGACTACGTTGCCAGTGCCAATTTGAAGATATGTAGATTCCAAGGTATATCATAAATTGTATGTCTTCGTTGAGGTCCGCGTTCCAGGCTTCCGGGTTTGGAACGCGGACCTCGACGAAGACACTGTTCCTGACTGCATCGTTACCATTTGGGATCCTGGATTTAGATAGCTTCTCAAAAGTAAGTATCAACACTCTTTCAATGAAATCATTGTATCGGTTACACTAGCCTTTGAATATTGTATCAACTGGGAGATATAGTTTTCCTTTCCACGACAGAATCCGGCAGGTGACCGTGCTGATGAATGTTGCTACACAGAAAGGGAAAGTTCACAATTGGAGATAGTACATCATTTTTGACGTCGGAAAGCTTATTTTGATCTTAACCGTTTTTTCAGTATCATTTTCTACATATCAGTCAAAATATCAAGCATAGCTCATAGTTTCGTAGTGCATTTTTTTATTGAATATACGTGAAATGGAAGTTCTGCAGACAGAAAAATATCATAATGGAAATGCATTTCGAAATGGTTATTTATTTATTTATTTATATATTTTATTTATTTATTTATTTATTTATTTATTTATTTATTTATTTATTTATTTATTTATTTATTTATTTATTTATTTATGATTTATTTATTTATTTATTTATTTAATACACATACACATTCAAAAATTACCATTTTTTTATTGAATATACGTGAAATGGAAGTTCTGCAGACAGAAAAATATCATAATGGAAATGCATTTCGAAATGGTTATTTATTTATTTATTTATATATTTTATTTATTTATTTATTTATTTATTTATTTATTTATTTATGATTGATTTATTGATTTATTTATTTATTGATTTATTTATTTATTTATTTATTTATTTATTTATTTATTTAATACACATACACATTCAAAAATTACCATTTTGAGATATAACAACCAACACAAAAACATACAATATCGAGTATTCACGTCTATTTCAATGACGTGTTTTTGATCATGCTACAATTATGATATATCAATCATGTATCGTCTTTTACCCTTATTCAAACTGCCACGGTTACCCACTGGATACCCCAATATATTGTAAATAGTTAATCTAGTATATTTTACAACATGATTAAATTTATAACTGAATTTCGGAATATTGTGACATTATATATAATACGTGATCGATTATTAGGTGAAGCTGTGAAAATGGAGAACAAGGGAAAATATTTTTAAATTGTAAATAGATCTATTTAGCTGCGGATTTTTAATAAGAGACGAATGACATTTGTATGTAAACAATCACCTTGTCAACGACGCCGATTCATTCTTTTGAAACCGCGGGTAATACAAAATATAATTTCAATCTTAAATTGGTGTAGTAAGACCTAGGAATAGTATACTTATATATATTTCTCAGGTTAGACACATAATTACTAAATAACTTATAGAAAGTATCCAAGATAAGATATCATACAAACAAAATTGAAATTTCATTAATTTATTTTGATTAAAAAAATAGGCGAGTTAACTTTCTCGTGAAATCTAATGTGATATTAATATACTAGGAGTTAAAACATTCTATATGTGCCTGTTCCAAGTCAGGAGTCTGTAATCGAGTGGTTGTCGTCTATTGATGTTTCTCATATTTGCTTTTCGTTCATTGTATTGCATAGTGACGGTTCCGTTGTGTTGTGCCCTATTAATTAACACCACTGTTAAGCACAGGCACTTGTCTCAGAAAAAAATTTACCTATATACCTTAATATATATTAAGGTATATAGGGGGGGGGGGAATTCTGAGACAAGTGCCTGTGCTGTTAAGAGTGGGTTGGCGCCTTCAATCATGTTTAACCCCGCTACGTTCTTTATGTGTATTTCAGTGGTTGTCGTTGGTTCATGCTGGGACATAATATATTGACGTTAGTTAATAGTTCCTGGTTCAGGTCTGTCATATTCGTTTTTCGTAAATTGATTTGTTATAAATTAGGCCGTTAGTTTTCTCAATTGAATTGTTTCACATTTTTCATTTCGGGACCTTTTATAGCCGACTATACCGTGTATGAGCTTTTGTCATTTTTGAAGGCCGTACGATTGTCTTTGATTGCTAACATCCCCTTCGTTTGAACTTTGGTGGATAGTTGTCTCATTGGCAATCATACCCCATTTCCTTGATTTTATAAAGACTAATTACACTAAACAGAAAGGCAAGCAGTTTAAGGTCATGGAGCTTTTTGTTTAAACCTTTCAACCCAAGTTTTATTAAAATCACTTTGTTAATACACTGAGATTTTTTCAGACTGTATCGTTTAAATCATACCAGTACCCGGCGAAGCACTTACTCACAGGACATTAAAATACTTCATATGAACAGGTAGAAAAATAATTATGATGCTTCCCCCCCCACCCCCTCAGACATTAGATGTATTTGCCGTAGTTGATACAACAAAAATGTTTTTTTCTTGTCAATTTCCGAAGTTTGCATCCTCCCACCCTCTTCAGTTAGTCATAAGCCACTGGAATGCATACACAAGAAGTACAGTACAGTTTGTGGATTTTTATAGCAGACATTGGAATTCAAGTGGGTTTTTTAGGGCCCGGAAAATCAAGGGAATTCATTTGTAGCTCAGTAGCCAAAACCAAATACTGGCATGGAAATACGAATATTGTGTTATCAAAATTTGCTGTTACAAAATTTTAGAACTTATTTTAGATTTAGGAATATGTATACCTCATGCTAAGCTCTGATTCCTTACCTTGCGTGCAAAGTTAATAAAACAATACTACTGGTAGTGACCGAGCGTATTTAAACCTATCCGAGTTGTTAATAGAAATAATAAGATGTGGTATTCCGGAGTGCCAATGAAACAACTCTCCATCCAAGTCACAATTTGTAAAGGTAAACGATTATAGTCTACAAAATGTTAAGCAGTTGATTTTTTTGGGAAAATTTATTATCCTTGCTTTTGAAATTAGGGCCAGAATTTTACAAAAATAATCAGCATTCTCTGTTTACATGTGTTATTGCAATTATAACTTGTTATTTTTTCTGAACACCGATGAGCTAGTAAAGTATAATATATACACACGGTTTTGGTTATACCTTTTTCGTCCTATTTGGTGTATAAGCTTTATTTTTTGGAATAAGGTTTGGATTTCAAATTAAATATTTTGGCCTCGAGCATCACCAAAAAGACATTTGGTGTCGAAATGTGCATATGGTGCAGTTAAATTGGTACCGTCCATGTTATTATTACGAAGTAAGAAAGATAACTCAAATGGACCTACCCCCAAAAGTTACAAATGATTTGTTCATCGAATTCCTCCGTTCTACTTTATCTGTATTATCTTTGTCACTCATGTTTTCCTTTTTCTTTTCATTCTTTTCCTTTTTCTTTTCGCGCTTTTTACCAGATTTTTTACTTTTGATACTTTTAATATCAAGCTCATCGTCCGATGTTTCAGCGTTTGTATCCATCTGATCCAAAATATTCATGTAAAATCGAAACGACTCCAGGATGATATCAAATTTTGAAAGAACATTGCAAGTTGATATTTCTTCTCACACAAACACACATTTTAAAGAATTACTTGGTAATAGGCACTCCTCCAGAACACATTTTTTTAAAATTCGGATTAAACTATTATTTTCGTTACAGGTACATTGTGCTGAAAGAACGGAAGAATGTGAATCCACAATAAAATGCATCAATGTAAAATATGTAGTATATCATCCATTTTTAGAGAAACGTATCAATGTGATACAGAGAACAAACCAGAAACTGCGTATCCAATGTAGAATGAATGTATAAAGAACTTGGTAATTTCAATAATATATTTTAATCCCTTAAAACCCAGTATAAAGGGATATTATTACCCTCTGATTTAATTTACAGGTACATATATTAAGAATATTATTGTACTGGGAAGGGATTAAGTGGCTCAATCTATAGAATATTTACTGATTTTAAGTCCCTTTTCAATACTAGGTCATTAATGGCTATTGAATAAAAAATAAATTAAAAAATAATTATTTTTATTATGGAAATGTATCGATTTTCCGCCTCACAATGGAAACAGTATGATAACTCTTTATATCTCTTGGAACTGTAACTAAAATGTATTTGGATTTTATTTTGTCTTGAAAGTAACTTTGTAGTAACTCGTTCAGGAGCACATATAAATGAGACTATTAAAAGATATGTATGTACACAGATACATTATTTGTATTATAGTGGTTGATAAAGGAGCAAATATAATTTTAGGGGAATATTAACAATGCTGCTACATTGAATCGTAGATCAACTGAATTTTAATATTATTAAAAGTAATAGAGTGGAACAAAACTGAGGTATGCCCACGTCTCTTTTTGTTTATACGAGGAAGGTCTAAGAAAAAAAGATTTTTTAAGATTACAGTGGGAAAATTGTAAACATAAATATCTCCCTTAAAATAGAGCCCTTCAACGTTTGGTACACAGGAACTGCCAATACTCCGTACCTTGTGTTATGCTACAGGCATTTTTAAATTAAGGCATTTTAGAAAATGCTTGAAAATTTGAGGCATTTTATACAATGCCTGTGAGATCTAGGAATTTAACAAATTGACTATTTTTGTTCAGGCATTCAATAAATGCCTGGACAAATTAAGACATTTTACAAAATGCCTGACATTATAGCATATAATGAATGTTAATAAAAACTGAGCCACTGAAAGTATATTAACAACAAAACAGTTTATTCTATGATAATTTCTGAATTCAACAACATGCATGTTAAGAGTTTAACAATTAAATAATAATTCTACTGAATTATTTACACAGGCACTGACAAATTATGTGTTATTTCATGGATTGCATGATCTGTTATACATTTGTCTTGATTTCTTGACAACCAAGTTTGGCGAAACCCTTACCATCATACATTCAGCTCTGTCAACACTTGTTCTGATAAAACACCTAAACGGTCGAAAACATATGGTTTTCGCAAACACATGGATATCTTCTTTTTCCTGGTTCCCAAAATATTCAAATAAACCTAAGCATGATTATATGAGGCGTGTATTTAGTAAAACATTATTGTATATAAGGAGATCCCGAAATATTTCAGGACCTCCAAAACTCGAATTCAGGGTATCCATAAATCATTGAGGTCTACTGAAATATTTCAGGACCTCCATAATTTATTTTAGGATATTCTGAAATATTTCATAACTTCCACAAATAATCGGTCAAAGTTGCTGTCATGTAGAGAAAGTGCCACGCATTCTACACATTAAGAACTCCCTCACGGGTCCCTAGGATGCCTGATTAAAGGCAACATTTCTGTGCATCTCAAATATGCCCTCATTTCTAGTGGCAGTCAAAATTCCTATCCGTCACCCCGGTCCATCCATTGCATGACTTAGCAATTGGATTTATTATTGATTTGTTTTCGTCCTAATTATGCACGAAGTATTTGCTACTGACATAAAACAATCAATCAATCAAAGTATTCATTTTATCTTTGCTCCTTATAACACACTTCTGTTTTGATGATCTTTTTTGTTTTTAAATTTTGCTCTATTGTAAGAACATCTGCCATCATAAAAGGATGATCATAATAAAGTGGCCCTCTGAAATACAAAGTGAGTACATGCTTCCATAGTTTCACTGTAAATTGTAACTATACTTATAATAGACGTACACACTTTCCCTGCTGGTATCTGAAGAATAAACTTAATTTTACTGAACCATTATTTTTTTTTTCATTTGCAAGATATTAATTGTCTTTTTGCCTTTTTTGTTGTTGTCATGTATCTCAATGATATCATTTTTTCCTACAAATTGCCTGAACCTGAACAGGCAATTTGATGGGTTTTATTTCAAAAATTCAGTCATTTTACAAAATACCTTAGTATTTTTAGCCATTTTGTATAATGCCTGTCAAGGTTATAGGCATTTCATAAATTGCCTGAAAAGTTAGACATTCAACAAAATGCTTAAATCTAAAAAAAAACGACTGAAACATATAAATACGAAATTAGACCAGAGAAGTGAAAATAAGAAATAACTCCGTATTCGAATAGATTAGCATTTTTAAATTAAGTCAAAACGGTGCACATGTACTTGTGTACTATAGCTCAATTATCAGTGACCGTTGTGGATAGTAAACTAGAAATTGATTGTTCGTAAATAAATGTTATTTCTAGTATGTTTACGTTAATCTAACACAGAAAACACGAAAATAGTTGAATTTAAAAGACAACTAAAAAATAACTGATTTTGGAAAAAGGGGAAGAGGAATACACAAATTGTACTGTGATAAGGCAATGTCAAAGAACAATTGTGTTGAATCTCACTTCATCTATATACAATTATGGTAGAATACCGTTGTTCAGTATAAAACAGGTGTAAAACATGTTTCCCCTTTTATCATTTCTATGTTACAGATATTTTCACTAACAGTTTTCTTATTAATGCAGCTTATTTCGTTTTATTTAATGTGATCTTGTTCATATCTTACATTAGAAGCCGCCCCTCTATCCCTTGGAATAATGCCGACACAGCTTGGATTAAAACAAATAGATGTAATTAAGATACATTAAAAGTATGGTGACACTTCTTCACATTGGCATACTTAATGTATTGCATAAAATTATTTTGATTTTTGCTTCTGAATAGACTGATACCATTCTTGCTGATATTTTCCTTCAGAATTTAGAAGTTTAACTTTTATCAGTGCTAGTATAATTTGGCTTTTATCTATGAAACTGATCATATACTTTCAGTACCCCTCCATCGAAGATACAGACGATATATAGTAGTCACTCTGTGTGTCTTTCTGTGTTATTTGTAAATTCACCCGCATTCAGTGCTATTTTCTGTAATGCGTTAAAATATTGAGCTGATTTTTATACATGTCTGTTACGTTACCAATCAAATTTTGAAAAAAATTTTTTCTTTCTTTATATTTATTTTTATTTATTTTCTTGTTTACGATAGAGAGAGATGAATTTGTTGCAATATCATATATGGAGTAATATACAAATTGATTTTGAGCTTATATGTAACCATATTATAAGGCGTTAGGTACATATTGATTTTGGTCTTATATGTCAAAGTGTAAAGATGTTAAAATCGAAAAAATGTCACCAATAAGATTAAAATCAAAGTTTTAAGAAATCTAGGGAATTGCATGAACTTCATAATGAGAATGAGTGCTTCGACATGGTAAGCGTTCCATGCTATGCATGTATCACCTACTTTGCGAATCCAGACTCAGTAAAAATTTCACAATTAATAATAGGACACACGGGCAGTAAAATTACAGATCGGACGACTATTCTGGTATGTGAGACGTTTGTGAATTTAGACACAGACACATTGTATCGTGATGGCGACCGTAAAATTTATATGTAGTGTCGATATTAGTCGTTCTTCATTACTCAGTTGGAGTAGTATTAAGGAGTACACCCAATGAAGTCCATATAGTGTGAACATGCATGAGTGTAACGTTTCAATAATTAAAGATAGTCAACGCCATACGATTGGATAGAGGGTACATTACTGTTGAAAAACTGAAAGTTGACAATTGGAAAGTTGAAATCATTACGTTTGTCATAGATGTAGTTTGAAATCGTCCATCTATGTCAATATCGAGGAAAAGATCAAGATATTAAGCATACCTTCTTGTTTTGGTAGTAGCCATAATCTCCAGTATACATAAAATATTTGACTTCCAGGCCCTTTAAACAAGTAATCATCATTATAAACTTATAGACAGATCAGAGGAATTAGACAAAATGTGTTTCATTAGAAGAGTGTACTACATGGAAACAGGTATCTTATTAAGAAAAAAACATACAATACATTGAACAAAGTACACTCGGATACAAGCAAATAGTAAAACTCACATCACAACAATGATTGATATTTTTACACCACATTTTGAACTATTGGTGGACGTGTTTTTTCAACAGACATTCTGCAATTATGTTGGAACCAGCTTTGATTTTTTATCCAGTTTTCGTTTTAAACCTACCAAACACACTTGCTTCTTTAGAAGAATGGAAAGAAGCTAGCGTTTTCCTTTTTTCACTTCACGATCCGCTATACAGGTGATGTCATCTCACTAAAATGAAACTTTAGTGATTTCATCAATATCTTGAAAATAATAAAATGATACATTTGAAACATTTTAGTCTGCTCCGTATCTCGATTACATCTAGACATCGACAGTGAGTTTCGATTGAAAACTAAAGTGTACGATAAAAGAGTTGATTTCAATTATAATACTATGTATTTTCCTTTTTTATGTAGCAACAATCCAGCAGCACCATCATATGGAGTGTGTATATCAAATCAAATCAAATCAAATCAAAAACTTTATATTTAAAGTCGGCATATCACAAAATCACAAACATAAGCTTTTGAGCTTTTATAACCGACAAATACATACATTTACACAATAAAAATACACAATACTGATATTAAAGCATACACGGCATAGTATCGTTTTCATAACAGTGTGGACGAGACCTTTTTTTTTGTGCGCTCAAGTCTCCCATTGACTGGGTTAAATTAGGTGAACGTTCGTCTGTAACGCCTACTTATCACGTCGTATTCATTATAGGCATTTAAACTGTTGGGTCACCAAAGGTTCTCAACGCCTGACTCAAATAATTCGAAAAACTAGTACAGGAATAACCTTTGTGTTTTGATTAATATTGAATACTTATACGTTCTTTACTTGCTTTTTTTATGTTTTGATCAACAATTTCATTTTATGTATCGACATGTGTTACAAGTGTTTATCTAAATCCCCACTGGAGGGCCTCTGTCAGACTGCGTGAGCGTAAAATCATTGTTATCGATAGCCGACAACAAACAAGTTAAAGGTAAATGATTCAGTAGTATTAACAACAAAAGTACTACGGTTGTCCACACTGTTACGGGAATACCTCTAAACATATATTTCATGCACATTTAAACAAGACTGAACAAAGTTAAATACTATATATTATATGCATGCATGAGCACTAAACTAAAAG